TACGGCTTCCTTTACATCTATAATATAATTGCTAAAAAGAGGTAAACTATAACAAAAAAAACAACAACAATCGTTTGTCATCTACATGATTATTATATAATGTAAAATAATACAGCAATTAGATACAAAATAAAATGTCTAGTTAATATGAAAGGGACAGTAAAGCCACATTTAGCAAACCAATATGTGGTTAAATGGCAATGTATTCAAAACAACACTGACTGTCGGCATTCCAAAATGAACTAGAACTATCGCTGAATGCGATTCATACCCCCACCAATGTCCTTGACAGAAGGCGACTTGGAAAGGTGGTTAAGGGAATAATTTAAGTGGCACAAATACATAAAAAGAAATTATCTCTGGTGAAAAAAGACTACTTGTACAGGTAATAGTATAAATATATATAATCAAATCATGTTCGAAACAGTTACAAATAACCTTTCATTTTCCCAATGTACTAAACATTTTATTTATAAGTCAATTTTTGACTTTCAAGTGTGGCCTTGACCTTAATCTGGCACATGGGTAAGATGGGATTTTGCACACCGCCCAGTTGGGGTGAACATTTGAATAAAGTTTGAACAAAATTCTTCCATTAGTTTAGAAATTATAGAGCGGACACAACATATTGTCTAGTATTGATTGTATGTAAATTTGATGACTTTAAAAGGGGCATAACTTTGTCAAAATGCAATACAGAGTAATGAAACTTGACCTGCATATCTTATTTGCGACACCTCATATATCTTTTAAGTTTCAAGCAAAAACCAGTGCTAGTTTCAGAAATATTCAAGTACATGTTCAAATTTAAGAACATTTTCTAAGTCAATATTTGACCTTCAAGTGTGACCTTGACCTTTAGCCGGCACAAAGGTGACATAGATTCTGCACATAACCTTGTTGAGGTGAATATTGAGTAAAGTTTGAAGAAAATTCTTCCATAAGTATAGGATTTATAGAGCGGACACGACATATTATCTAGTATTGATTGTATGTAAATTTGAAGACTTAAAAAGGGGTATAACTTTGTCAAAATGCAATACAGAGTAATGAAACTTGACCTGCATATCTTATTTGCGACACCTCATATACCTTTTAAGTTTCAAGCAAATACCAGTGCTAGTTTCAGAAATATTCAAGTACATGTTCAAATTTAAGAACATTTTCTAAGTCAATTTTTGACCTTCAAGTGTGACCTTGACCTTTAGCCGGCACAAAGGTGACATAGATTCTGCACATAACCTTGTTGAGGTGAACATTTGAGTAAAGTTTGAAGAAAATTCTTCCATTAGTATAGGATTTATAGAGCGGACACGACATATTGTCTAATATTTGACTGAATGTAAATTTGAAGACTTAAAAAGGGGCACAACTTTGTTAAAATGCAATACAGAGTTATGAAACTTGACCAGCACATCTTAATTGTGACACTTCATATATATTTTAAGTTTCAAGCAAATACCTTTTCTAGATTCAGAAATATTCAAATAGATGTTAAAGTTTTAGAATATTTTCTAAGTCAATTTTTGACCTTCAAGTGTGACCTTGACCTTAAGCCGGCAAAAGGTTGACATGGGTTCTGCACATCCCCTTCTTGAGGCGAACATTTGAGCGAAGATTGAAGAAAATCTTTCAATTAGTGTAGGACTTACAGAGCGGACACGACATACTGTGTAATATTTGATTGTTTGATATTTGACCTTCAATTGTGACCTTGACCTTGAGATGACACATGAGCAACATCGGTTCTGCACATCCCCTTGTTGAGGTGAACATTTGAGCCAAGTTTGAAGAAAATCTATTAGTGTATGACTTACAGAGCGGACACGACATACTGTGTAATATTTGATTGTTTGATATTTGACCTTCAATTGTGACCTTGACCTTGAGCTGACACATGAGCAACATCGGTTCTGCACATCCCCTTGTTGAGGTGAACATTTGAGCCAAGTTTGAAGAAAATCTTTCAATTAGTGTAGGACTTACAGAGCGGACACGACATACTGTGTAATATTTGATTGTGTTTGATATTTGACCTTCAATTGTGACCTTGATCTTGAGCTGACACATGGGCAACATGGGTTCTGCACATCCCCTTGATGAGGTGAACATTTGAGCCAAGTTTGAAAAAAATCCTTCAATTGGTATAGGAGTTATAGAGCGGACATGAAAATGGAGACGGACCGACGAACGGACCGACCGACCGACTGACGCGACAAAGAGAATTCATTATAGCCCCCCCCCCCCACATTTTGTGGTGGGGGTATAATAATATTAATTAATTTAAAAGAGTATTACTAATCATATTAAAAACATTCAATGCCATTTTTACGCAATAAATTTTCAAGGAGCAAACCAAACGAATCCAATGATCTAAACTCCTATGTATGTATGGTATTGACGCTAAAATATTACTCGTATGCAAAATAAATCAAGATATATATCTGGACATCGATTCTATGTTTACCAATGTAGCAAACATTTGAGCCGCATCACGACAAACCAACATAGTGCGTTTGCGACCAGCATGGATCCAGAGCAGCTTGCGCATCCGCGCAGTCTGATCAGGATCCATGCTGTTCGCTTACCAACCCTATAACAAGTAGAGAAACTGATAGCGAAACTGGATCAATGCTGGTCGCAAACGCACTATGTTGGTTTTGTCATGTGACGCGGCTCATTTTGTGTTGACCTTTTTTACAAAATGACCGACTGACAAATCATACATGGTAAATACAAATAAATGTACAAATGTACAAAAGTAATTTAAGTTTGTCAATTTAGCATTTCAAATTGTTTATACATGAATTATTTACAACTGGACCACAGGGACCCAGCACACTGTTGGGATAGCTAGAATTACTTTTTTACCCTATCCCAACACTGTGCCCCAGACAACAAATCAGACTACTAATGTAGTGGCCAAAGATGGTCATCTTTCGCAACGTGTGCGCTTAACTTAAACTAGAACTATCACTAAATGTGATTAATACCCCCACAAGTCTGCTTCGGAAATGAGGATGTTACTAGTAACAGAATACCTTGTAAAAGAATTGAAACATAGAGTTATGGTTGTGGGCAATTAAAGATAATTGTGGTTCATGTATGTTGCATTTCCTTTCAATGTGGTTGGCCATTTAATTTTAATTAATTAATTAATTTAGTTTAATTGAATTACTCTGTAATAAGTCCAGAAAGACAAAGAAAAAGAACAAAGGGCAATAACTCTATAAATACTGAAGATAGAGTTATAGTTTTTGTGCACTGCACTTCCTCTTATTGTGCTTGACCATTGTATGAAGTTGTTTTGAATTCCAACCAGTACGTTTTAAGTTATGCTCCGGACAAGGAAAAGCATCAAAGGGCAGTAACTCTGTATTTTGTCAACATGGAGTTATGGCTCTTGTTCACTGCACTTCCTTTTAATGTCCTTGACAACTGTATGAAGTTGTACTGAATTCCAAACAGTAGTTTTCAAGTTATGCTCTGGACAAGGAAAAGTAACAAAGGGCAATAACTCTGTAATTAGTCAAGATGGAGTTATGGTTCTTGTGCACTGCACTTCCCCTTATTGTGCTTGACCATTGTATGAAGTTGTTTTGAATTCCAACAAGTAGTTTTCAAGTCATGCTCTAGACAAGGAAAAGTAACAAAGGGCAGTAACTCTGTAATTAGTCAAGATGGAGTTATGGTTCTTATGCACTGCACTTCCTCTTAATGTGCTTGACCATTGTATGAAGTTATAATGAATTCCAACAATAAGTCTTCAAGTTTATGGTCCGGACAAAAAGAAAGCAATGGAAAAGAAACAAAGGGCAATAACTCTGTAATTAGTCAAGGTGGAGTTATGGTTCTTGTGCACAGCACTTCCCCTTATTGTGCTTGACCATTGTATGAAGTTGTTTTGAATTCCAACCAGTAGTTTTAAAGTCATGCTCTGGACAAGGAAAAGAAACAAAGGGCAGTAACTCTGTAATAAGTCAAGATGGAGTTATGGTTAATGTGCACTGCACTTTCTCTCAATGTGCTGGACCATTGTATGAAGTTATAATAAATTCCAACAATTAGTCTTCAAGTTATGGTCCGGACAAAAGAAAGCAATGGAAAAGTAATAAAGGGCAATAACTCTGTAATTACTTTAGATAGAGTTATGGTTCTTATGCACTGCACTTCCTCTCAATGTGCTTGACCATTGTATGTAGTTATATTGAATTCCAACCATTAGTCTTCAAGTTATGGTCCAAACAAAAAAAAGAAGGCAATGGAAAAGCAACAAAGGGCAATAACTCTGTAATTACTTTAGATAGAGTTATGGTTCTTGTGCACTGCACTTCCCCTAATTGTGTTTGACAACTATATGAAGTTGTTTTGAATTCCAACCAGTAGTTTTCAAGTTATGCCACGGACAAGGAAAAGTAACAAAGGGCAATAACTCTGTAATTAGTCAAGATAGAGTTATTTTTCTTACGCACTGCACTTCCTGTCAATGTGCTTGACCATTGTATGTAGTTATATTGAATTCCAACCATTAGTCTTCAAGTTATGCTCCGGACAAGGAAAATGCAACTGACAAGAAAAAAGCAATGGAAAAGCAACAAAGGGCAATAACTCTGTAATTACTTTAGATAGAGTTATGGTTCTTGTGCACTGCACTTCCCCTTATTGTGTTTGACAACTGTATGAAGTTGTTTTGAATTCCAACCAGTAGTTTTCAAGTTATGCCCCGGACAAGGAAAAGTTACAAAGGGCAATAACTCTGTAATTAGTCAAGATAGAGTTATGGTTCTTGTGCACTGCACTTCCTCTCAATGTGCTTGACCATTGTATGTAGTTATATTGAATTCCAACGATTAGTTTTCAAGTTATGCTCCGGACAAGGAAAATGCAACGGACGTCTGGACCGACCGACCGACCGCCCGACCGACCAACCGACCGACCGACCACCGGGTGACTCCTATATACCCCCCCCCCCCAAACTTCGTTTTTGGGGGTATAATGAGTCAAACAGAATGACAAAATAATTGTAAACGTATAAAATATGAAAATTGTAAAAAATGATTCATGAACAAGACTTCTATTGCTATTCAAGGACTTTTTTATGAAGTATTATCCTCGTACACGTGTATAGCCGGTGTCACGTCTTCAATTCCCTCGTCTGGTTTATCTGCTGTCTCCTGAACTGTCATTGGTTTCGTTTCATCGTCGTTCGCATGCTGAAATTAGATAGAAAGATCAAATTCTTAACTTTTTTTTTTATAAAAAAAAAGACTTCTAATAAACAAGAATCGTATAGATAAAGCAAACGTGTATAGATTTCGACGTTTTGAACCCTATATGATCAATAGAAATAGTTGACCCTATGGCTTTTTAATAAACATATTGAATTGAAATTATATGATTGATTAATTTGCTGAACTGTTTTTATTTTTTACTTGTTGTCACTGATATACATTTAAAGCATTTTATCCAAACATTAGAAGTTAAATCATAATTCCCGCACTTTACTTTAGTAAAGATACAATCCTATATTCAATGTTATTTTCCGCACTACAGCACCCTGAAGAAATGTAAGTATTGCAAACATAATTAGCTTGGTTTAAACATGGTATGTACGAACATGAAAATAAAAACGTGCACCAATCAATCTTGAATACAACCTTATGGTCAAAAATTATATTACCGATTTGGTACGTCTGTAAACGCATATTTCAACTAGGCATATGAACACTCCAATAACAAGTCCGAGAAGAACTATTAGTATCGCCGATGAGAAAGTCGCTAAATCGAGACTATAAAATCTAGGCCTTTCTCTTTGCGTCACAGGGTTCCTCACATCTGAACATTCCGCTTGTTGTTCAAACCATTTCTTTTCTAGCTTGTGTATTTCGCCGGTTTCGGTCAGTTTGACTAATGCAAAGTTCAAATTTTTTTCAAGAGATGATCCTTTTGGTAATCCAAATGCAAAATATGAGTGTGAGAAGTCTTGTTTGAGGTCAATAAGATCACAGGGCTTTCTACTTGCCATGTATCTAGACGTGGGACTTTCAACAATAGCAACAAACCCGTTACCATAGCGATTCCTCCGTATTTGTTCAACAAGATATTCTGCAGTTTCAAACTCGTTATATTTCGCATCATTGATGACTTTCTTGTAAATTTTTTGATCAACAGATGATTTGGACTCGCGGAAGAATCTGTGCGTAGCACCCCCTTGTAGAAATCCTACTCTCATGTCACTATACGCAATATCACTGTACAAAAGATAAATATTGTGGTATGATTGTTAAAAGTACAAATGCACTAATAAATAAGAAATATTAGAACCATCAATCTTCTTAGCGAGATTTGATTCGATACCACCGAGCAGAGAAAACGAACCTATTTAATTACAATTGCATGCCTTGAAAATAGTACAATAAAAAGAGAATAGCATACAAAGTCGTTTAACATAGGTTATAGAGTTTTACATTTTTATTCAATTATAACAATATGGCATTTGTGAATTTTATATTGGAGGAGATTCTTTGAATACAAATAAAATACCTTAGACTTTTAACTGGGAGTTCTCTTTCGTTAGAACTTGTGAAAAATCCGGTGCTGCAAAGGTTTGTGAGATTGGCTGTGTAAGATACGATTAAAATAATAGTAAATATCCACCATGTCACTACCAAAACTCGAGCCCCTATTGAACGGGGCGCCTGATTGTAACCTATTTTCAAAAAAAAGGAAAAAATAGGTATCAAAAAAGTATAGCTTATAAATAAACAATTATTGTGTTCAGCCGGCAAGTCTTCTTGCATGGCATCAAGGTGTTATATAACAAAATATTAAATTTGGAGTGCGTCGGAAATCTAACATGAAAATGAATGATGTTTTTCAAGAATGACATACCACCATAATAACCACGTATTCAAGGGACAGGGCGTGGTGAAGTGGTTGCGCACTTGGTTCAAGCGAGAAAATTGGCTGCAAACTTTACAAAATGGCTACGAGTCATGATAATTTACAACTCTCGCATTATTTTCTGCTGGTAAGTGGTTTTGTATGTTATTTTGAAAATAAATTAATATACCCATACCTTAAGGCAATGTTTACGACACACATGGTTTTAGGTTTCTGGGGCCGTCTTATCAACTTATAAGACGGGCCCCAGCTTCCTAGCTTTTGATTTGACGAAGTTATTGAAGATATAAAACGGCCATGCACATATATCTTCAATAACTTCGCGTGCAACCACGTCACCCTTCGTGGTGTCAAGGCTACATATTTATTGTCACTTATCACGAACTATCATTATTTTAGGATAAATTTGTACAACTTTTTTTCAATTCTATTTTTTTTTTCTAAAAAAATACTTTGTTTTGATCTTCTTTGTACAAAATAAAGAAAAAGTAAATGTAAGTTTAGAAGAGCAAATTTGTTTCAAGAATGCCCGGAGAAAAGTATAACTATCAAGGCCTGTCTGATCCAATGAAAAATCAGACTGCTTAAGTGGAAATTACTTGACAAAAAAAATTACAGCATTACATGTACAACTTGACTTTGATAAGTTTCAATGAAAGTTAAAAAAAACAACAAATAAATGATACACAACAAAAATACCTTGCCACATAAGTGTACTTGTAACAAAGAAGAAAGAATTGAGACACGTGAATGACTCTCCTTCCTGCACGGTTGCCTCGTGATCACGTGCCATTCTTCTCCATTCATAAGGATTAAATCGCATCATGACGTACAGCACAGTTCCGACAACAACGAAGACTACAATCACCATAACCCAAACAGAAAGGTTGAACGGATAGAGAAGTCTGGCAAGTGTTGAGATGTTGATAACACTAGGTTTCGAGATCAAGAGGGACAAACTAACAGGCATGACCGGGTATGAAAAATCTATCACACCAGATCGCGGGGTTATCACCGTTAGTAGCCCTGCTATGTCGGCATTCTGAAAGTAGTAGAAATTACAAAAATATCAGTTTTTATTTTATGCTTTTCAGTGGATTACTGATTTATCCGTGAAAATTATATTTGATAATTTCACAGTGAAAATTATCAAAATATAATTTCACACTTTTCAATGACGAAACTACTTTTTTAAGATTTCCCCCATGTGGTATCTCAATTTTATTTTTGCTGACAATTCTGACAATGTCAGGCTGTTTAAAGAAAAGCAAAGCTGAAATTGATAAATAACTTAAATGTCAAAAGTAATAAAAAGAAGAAAACTTACAGTAAGTTACTTCTATTCATTCAAATTACAAATCGCCAAATATCGTCTCTTTAATTTTTGAATCATTTTTACAGTCTGAAAAATACACTCCTTCCACATGCAAAACTGCTCTTGATGACATTTGGGAATATTTAAGTATCCTACGAGCAATAACTGCCGTATGCTTTATGAAAACTTGAAAAGCAATGACAGCTATCAGTCCGAAGAATAAGTAAACAATCCAGCGTTCGTAAGGCTTCCAAGTTTTCCAATTTCCTATCCACTTTTTAAATGTTTACACATCTGTCAAGACTTATTTATTGTCCGTTACAAGCCTCAAATAAGTTTTCTTTCTTTAAAAACAGGTGTATGACTAACAAATCCAAATGATATTCCTCTGAATCAAACACAATTATTTTCCTCCAGTGGAATACACAACTTTAAAAATGGCGGCCGCTTACATTTAAAAAAGCCAGGTCTAATATAAGTTCGCAGTCAGTAACAGAAATATGGATGGATGGTTGGACTTTTTCTCCTACTAGAATTGTTTGTTTTTATTATTTAAACAACCGACCAGTCATATTTTTTAATAAAATAAATACTATCACCGCCATTTAACGTTTATTGTCGAACTTATTTTTCAGCCCAAGACTTCTTGTATTTAATGAGAAATTCGACTTTTTTGAGGCTCTCAATGGGGAAAACAGATTCTAATATTAATTAATTTTAAGGAAATTTCGTTTTAACTTGTTTCTAAGCATAAAATAAAAAGAAAATTTGTTTGTTTGTTTTGTAAGATGTAATTTTATTTCATCTCGTGAACATTAAAAACAGTATTCTCACGAGTGGCTACGCCACTTTGTATTCTAATAGACTATTACTAAAATATTACGACATCCAGAACAAAGAAGGGCCATAATTCTGTAAGTTGACCTGCATACCAATTGACCGAGGTTCAAACTTAAAAGATCTTACCCCATTGGCCAGTTCTCCAACCATGCCTGCCCAGGACCCATTTGGGTATTGTACACCATACTGACTGTCAGGTGCCAGTGAAATATTGTATGTGATGTTAAGCTTGTCAAGTAGATCGGGTAAATATCCAACATAACTCCCATCCCTGTTTAACATCAAATATGGGCTGTCCTGCAGTAACAAGCAATAAAAAGTATTCACTGTTGCTCTTTAAATGCAATGATGCTTAAATAAAGCATGTACTCTGTACGGTTGACTTCTTCACCCTTAACTTCTTTGAGCCAAAACTAATTACCCTTTGCCACCAGAATATAGCCAGATCAAACTGCCCACAGGTGCAGTCTGACCAGCCTCTATACTGGAGGTAGTTTATTTTTTATTTTGTGATTGAAATCCCTTTGAATGGGTGATACTATCAAATGCTAATGTACATGTAGTAGAATGACAGAAACGTGTAAATACAATATTGGCAATACATATTTGAAGATATTTATTTATCTTTTGGTACTAGGTTTCTGAATCCTGGTTCTCTCGTATCAGAGTTATTTAATCAAAATTAATTTTTGTATTACGTTAGAAACGGAACAGTTTAATTTGATAAAAAAATGCTGTGTTGGTATTATTGGCCCGTTTGGTTAAATTAATACTGGTAAAATGATTGTATCGGATTTTTACAAGCAAAATAATTTTAATTTTATATTTATAAGTATACTTACAAGAACTGCAGAGACTCGAAGAGTTGACTTCGTCTGAAAATCACAAATAATTTAGCATGGTAAATTCTTTAGATAAACAAGCTATTGCAACCCTATCGACATATTATAAACTTATTTTATTTAAGTTACTTGCACTATAGAAAGTTTAATTATTAGCAGTATAACATCAGTTCTTTGTTGCGAGATACATACTTGAATTTGAATTTAAACTAATTTCTTACAATATCTTATATTTCAATACATAAGATCAAGCACAGGAACTTGAAATTCTATCAAATAACCAATATTAATGATAATATCCAAATATACCCCCTATATACTATAAATTAACATATTTATATCTATTATATTTATACTGTATAGGGGGTATATTTTGGATATTATCAATAATATTCCTGTGGATCAAGCGTCTTCGCTTATTACATACATCATGATAACGTTTATCAGGCACCCTCAGTATATATCTACGGCTCCGGGAATTGGAATTTTAATATTTTATACAGTCTTGCATATCAATATAAAGACTCGCGATTCAACTAATACAAATGCAATTGTAATATACGAAGTTTGTATGTGGGTAATTCGAAAATCATGCAAAAATTATTAAGATGAACGGTATTGTTTTTTATGTTATTTTTTGTTTTACTCTTATTTACTTTTATTGCAGATAAAACAAAGGTTGAAAAAGTATGCATATAAAACATCTTTACCTGGACTTCTGCACATATTGAACATAAATTTCCAATAACAAATAAGGTCACCAATAAAACATTTACGCGCGTCCCCATTTCCGTTCTTAGTTTCTGGAGTGATTTGAAATGACTCAGCACTACTTAAACGCTGTATTGATCCTCGGAGCCATTGTTTCCCATGGCGAAATTAGGTCTATTACTCATTCCGTAAAAAATCTATGGTGAAGAATACTCGCCAAAGTTTTAATCACAATAGATAAAATTATGATATTGAAATATACTTTAGAAATAGCGTAATTTGAGAAATATAAATAATATTGTATGACAGAATAATGGTTTATTTAAATTCTATACGTCAGAAGTCACTCAAATGCTCAACTAGCTTATACAACTCACAGGAGGGACTCGGCAGTGTTGGGATAGTGTAAAAAGTAATGCTAGAAAAAAATATATACCGTATATAGTCTATATATTATAAGCAGTATATTTTTTTTCTAGAATTACTTTTACACTATCAAAACACTAGTTGTGCCGAGTCCATGTGATACAACTTGGTAGTCAATAGAATATTGACCAAAGGTATGTGAACACTTGGTAGTTTAACTATCCATTAGTAACCCACATGTTTTAAAGCCTATAATTGCAAGTTACTTAAGCGAACAACATCTTCAAATATACCTAATCAGCCCCGTTTATAGCTGCAACCTCTGCTAAAAGTGAGATAATTAACAGTCATTTCCTTTTCGCCGATTAATTAATTAAGTACTTACCAAATGAACTTTCTGTATTCTATCTCAGAACTAAGAATAAAACAGGTCTTGAAATGATCTCCAAACAAAAAAAAAAAAAAACCAACTGGCAATGACAATTTGCTGATTGTCAAGTAAAAACCGTTGATGGTTAAGTAATTTACAAAGCCTGACAACACGTTATCAATATATTTTAAAATATCACCATAAACCTTTGTTTGTATCAGACATAGAAATGTGGGTTGTGTTTCATAGAAAGTCCAAAGCCTAAAATATGTCTTATGACCAAAACTGAGACAACTTTGGTTTCTAACAAAATGTCCTAACTGATAACTCTAATGTTAATTAAGCCTCCTCAATTTCTGAATATGCAGATGCAGATGGACATTTATACATTGCGGATTGAAGCGCATGCGCGTATTTTGTATCTTTTCTAAGCAGAATGAATTAAATGAAAGTCTAAAAATTTTACTTAAGATGAAACAAAATGACTGAAACGATCGTAACATTGTCCTAAAGTTTGTGATAAGTCCTATGACTTAGAGTACACTTAGGACGGCCTTTCTCCATTGATGCTAGGGAGATAAAAAATAAAAACACCAAAACATAGTATCGTAAATACATTGTTTATTAGAATAATACATTGCTATCACCAACATGATAACTTAAACCCACATTTGTTTATAAAAATATCACAGATAAAAGGCCCTAGATTACATATCTATTTTTCTTTTCTTTTTTTTAACAAGGTAATGTATAACTCACCTTTAATACACTTTACCAAATAATTATACTCTGAAATTTTATACATTATATTCTAAATTACTGTAATATATTGACATAAACTCAAGTGAGAGTCAGAAAGCTCAGACAACTTTGTGTAAAATTGAAGCACAATTTAGACTGCTAGGAAAAAGTTGTAAAATAAAACCATATACATTTACTACATGTACATTATTTGTAACGGACGAACATCCTTAGCAATGAACAATAAATACTACGGCAAGTTATTGGGGCTAATTGCATAATGTGTCAACTTTTTATCAACATATGAATCTTGTCATTCACCTCAAAGATCGTGGTTTTCCTTACATGAATATTTGAATATACATTTGTATTTTTTTACCAAATTGTCTTGCATCTTTTTATAAAACATACAAATTTTCAATTAAATTATAAAATTTTAGAAAGCACCGTAATAAAAATTTCATACAAAGAAGTGTAAAATTTCATCTGCAAAAATGCTTTAAGTTAACAACACTGAACAGTGATTCCCCTAAGAATTCAATATTTTATGCCAATTTTTCCAACATTTGCTCAATATATTGACTACTAACACTAATGAAAACATGATCTAATATATTTTTATCATACTAGTATTTATATTAATATAACAAGAGCGATCAGTGATCACATGTGTCGCCTCATGATGGCCAATTTCATGTTGGGACATGTTTTGTGACAGACGGAGAAGTGATCGGAGTAGTTGCGGCATAAATTCCTGTAAAGTTAGGATGAAATTGCCCCAGTAGTTTATGAGGAGTAGTGGGGACAGACAGACAGACAGACCGTCTAGACTTGGTACTGATCATTCCTGTAAAGTTTGGATAAAATTGTACCAGTAGATAATGAGAAGTAGTCCGGACAAGCTTTTGTGTATCTGGCAACACACAGAGAAAAATACCTTTTTATCAAAGGGCCACAACTCGGCCAAAAATCATTCAACCGGAAAACCCGTGAAATATGCACAAGGACTTGAGCTACAGATCAATCCTGTAAAGTTTCATTGAAATTGCATTAGTGGTAAAAGAGAAGTAGTCTGGACAAACTTAAAAAAAAATTATTAAAGGGCCATAACTCTTACAAAAATCATTGAACCGGAAAATGCTGACAATATGCACAACTAGACCTGGTACTGATCATTACTGTAAAGATGGATGAAATTGCACCAGCACTTTATGAGGAGTAGTCCGGACAGGCTTTTGTGTATCTGGCAACACACAGAAAAAAACACCTTTTTATCAAAGGGCCATAACTCGGCCAAAAATCATTCACCTGGAAAACCCGTAAAATATGCACAAGGACTTGAGCTACAGATAAATCTTATTAAGTTTCATTGAAATTGCATTCGTGTTATAAGAGATGTAGTCCGGACAAACTTTAAAAATAAAAATTATTAAAGGGCCATAACTCTTACAAAAATCATTGAACCATAAAATGCTGACAATATGCACTACTAAATTTGGTACTGATCATTCCTGTAAAGTTTGGATGAAATTGCACCAGTACTTTATGAGGAGTAGTCTGGACAAGCTTTTGTGTATCTTTCAACACACAGAAAAAACACCTTTTTATCAAAGGGCCAAAACTCGGCCAAAAATCATTCAACCAAAAAACCCCTGCAATATGCGCAAGGACTTGAGCTACAGATTAATCCTGTAAAGTTTCAATGAAATTGCATTAGTGGTATACGAGAAGTAGTCTGAACAAACTTTAAAAATAAAAATTATTAAAGGGCCATAACTCTTACAAAAATCATTGAACCGGAAAATGCTGACAATATGCACAGTTAGACTGAATACTGATCATTCCTGTAAAGTTTGGATGAAATTGCACCAGTAGTTTATGAGGAGTAGTAAGGGCAAGTTTTGTGACAGACGGACAGACAGACGGATGACGGAGAAGTGATCCCTATATGTCGCCACTACTTCGTAGCGTAGAGGCGACACAAAAATGCATGCACTTTAAAGCTACATATATTGCGCAGTTAAATATTCAGTTTCAATTTTGACCCTATAACTTACACTTTTCAATAGATTGTCAATATTTTGTATCTTTTCTAAGCAGAATGAATTAAATGAAAGTCTAAAAATTTTACTTCAGATGAAACAAAATGACTGAAACGATCGTAACATTGTCCTAACGTTTGTGATAAGTCCTATGACTTAGAGTACACTTAGGACGGCCTTTCTCCATTGATTCTAGGGAGATAAAAAATAAAAACACCGAAACATAGTATCGTAAATACATTGTTTATTAGAATAATACATTGCTATCACCAACATGATAACTTAAACCCACAGTTTATAAAAATATCACAGATAAAAGGCCCTAGATTACATATCTATTTTTCTTTTCTTTTTTTTAACAAGGTAATGTATAACTCACCTTTAATACACTTTACCAAATAATTATACTCTGAAATTTTATACATTATATTCTAAATTACTGTAATATATTGACATAAACTCAAGTGAGAGTCAGAAAGCTCAGACAACTTTGTGTAAAATTGAAGCACAATTTAGACTGCTAGGAAAAAGTTGTAAAATAAAACCATATACATTTACTACATGTACATTATTTGTAACGGACGAACATCCTTAGCAATGAACAATAAATACTACGGCAAGTTATTGGGGCTAATTGCATAATGTGTCAACTTTTTATCAACATATGAATCTTGTCATTCACCTCAAAGATCGTGGTTTTCCTTACATGAATATTTGAATACACATTTGTATTTTTTTACCAAATTGTCTTGTATCTTTTTATAAAACATACAAATTTTCAATTAAATTATAAAATTTTAGAAAGCACCGTAATAAAAAAATTCATACAAAGAAGTGTAAAATTTCATCTGCAAAAATGCTTTAAGTTAACAACACTGAACAGTGATTCCCCTAAGAATTCAATATTTTATGCCAATTTTCCCAACATTTGCTCAATATATTGACTACTAACACTAATGAAAACATGATCTAATATATTTTTATCATACTAGTATTTATATTAATATAACAAGAGCGATCAGTGATCACATGTGTCGCCTCATGATGGCCAATTTCATGTTGGGACAAGTTTTGTGACAGACGGAGAAGTGATCGGAGTAGTTGCGGCATAAATTCCTGTAAAGTTGGGATGAAATTGCCCCAGTAGTTTATGAGGAGTAGTGGGGACAGACAGACAGACAGACCGTCTAGACTTGGTACTGATCATTCCTATAAAGTTTGGATAAAATTGCACCAGTAGATAATGAGAAGTAGTCCGGACAAGCTTTTGTGTATCTGGCAACACACAGAAAAAAATACCTTTTTATCAAAGGGCCATAACTCGGCCAAAAATCATTCAACCGGAAAACCCGTGAAATATGCACAATGACTTGAGCTACAGATCAATCCTGTAAAGTTTCATTGAAATTGCATTAGTGGTAAAAGAGAAGTAGTCCGGACAAACTTAAAAAAAAAATTATTAAAGGGCCATAACTCTTACAAAAATCATTGAACCGGAAAATGCTGACAATATGCACAACTAGACCTGGTACTGATCATTACTGTAAAGATGGATGAAATTGCACCAGTACTTTATGAGGAGTAGTCCGGACAGGCTTTTGTGAATCTGGCAACACACAGAAAAAAAAACCTTTTTATCAAAGGGCCATAACTCGGCCAAAAATCATTCACCTGGAAAACCCGTGAAATATGCACAAAGACTTGAGCTACAGATAAATCTTAATAAGTTTCATTGAAATTGCATTCGTGTTATAAGAGATGTATTCCGGACAAACATTAAAAATAAAAATTATTAAAGGGCCATTACTCTTACAAAAATCATTGAACCATAAAATGCTGACAATATGCACAACTAAATTTAGTACTGATCATTCCTGTAAAGTTTGGATGAAATTGCACCAGTACTTTATGAGGAGTAGTCTGGACAAGCTTTTGTGTATCTTTCAACACACAGAAAAAACACCTTTTTATCAAAGGGCCAAAACTCGGCCAAAAATCATTCAACCAAAAAACCCCTGCAATATGCGCAAGGACTTGAGCTACAGATTAATCCTGTAAAGTTTCATTGAAATTGCATTAGTGGTATACGAGAAGTAGTCCGAACAAACTTTAAAAATAAAAATTATTAAAGGGCCATAACTCTTACAAAAATCATTGAACCGGAAAATGCTGACAATATGCACAACTAGACTTAATACTGATCATTCCTGTAAAGTTTGGATGAAATTGCACCAGTAGTTTATGAGGAGTAGTAAGGACAAGTTTTGTGACAGACGGACAGACAGACGGATGACAGAGAAGTGATCCCTTTATGTCGCCACTACTCCGTAGCGTAGAGGCGACACAAAAATGCATGCACTTTAAAGCTACATATATTGCGCAGTTAAATATTCAGTTTCAATTTTGACCCTATAACTTACACTTTTCAATAGATTGTCAATATTCTCACATAAATCAGCCTTTTAACATTTCAATTCAAAGATGAATATGAATCAACAGCTACTCTATCATGAAAGATTGTTAAAATACAATAAAATAGATGATGCAAAACAACAAAACAACAATACAGTAATAATCTTCCATACAATGCCTTGTAAAAATAAGACATGATTGAACAGCAAAAATGATAAAATAAACATGCTTAAATGGAACAAAATCTTTGGTTTCAATCTCCACATGTGTTGAGCTATTTTGTTTATACATGTATCCACTATAATCTTACATTATTTTATTTATAAATGCTCTCAACCGTCAATTACATTTTCACATTAACACTGCATGTTAATTAAAAAAGTCATGATAGATAAATACATACTTTGGCACTAATATCCAGAAATCTAGGACATCCAAACATGCACAGCCCAAGAACAGATCATAAAGGGAATGTGAGGTAAAAACGAAAATTTCGGAGAGTTGGAAGGAGAATGTGGCAAAGCTAAAGAAAATAGACTAAATTCTTAATGTTGGTGACAGATATATAAATATTCATCCAATTTGATCTATCAAAACAGTAGTGATTAGAGCTGTCATTTAACAGTAATGGCCTGTTTAAAATCTGGAACAATCCATTTGGGTTTTGAAGGAGTTCAATATCAATGTACTGAAACTATTCAATATTAAAGTACTGAAACTAAACAGTTTCTGATGCAGTAACTATGCATAATCTATCAGCATAAGTGTTAACAATCCTTCAAACTTATTTCACATGTTAAAACTGTCTTTTCATTTCAGTCTAGTAAATGTCATATTTCACGCATTATTTTCATATTTTAAAATCTGATATTTTTTCCAGAATACCCAATAATGTAAACATTTAAAAAAAAATGTGAAAACCTATTCTAAACACGGAAAATACATGAATTTACATATACAATACATGAACTGACATGTAATATATATAAACTAATATGTTTAATACATGAACTACACAATCGTTACCGTGTAGAAGATATAATAACAAGATTTAAATAATCTTTCATAGCTTAAAAGAATATTTGAAGTTTGGATTAATCTAAAATATATTAAATTAAATAAAATCAAATGATCAAATCACCTTTTCAAAAAAGGATGCAAAAAAATACAAATGCCCTCAATCTTTGATACTTAAGATACTATGCTGAAATGTGTTGAAAATTTGACCTTGAAGATCAGGCTCCATTAGAACTAAGGTCTAATTGTATGATGTAAAAACAATACTCTCATCTTGGAGTATGTTGTGTCTTATGATGATTTATGCTGCATGCAAACAACAAGACAAGCAACATATAAACAATATGTCTTACATGTCCAAATGTTATCTAGTTAACACTTATACTAAGATTACAGGCCCAATTGTTTTGTTTCTTTTGTTGTTGATTTTTTTTTTTTTTAATCCTGATAATAGATAATCTTTTTTAAATCATGTGCGTAGGATATTCTTGAAAACAATACACTAAGAATATATACTGCATAAATTGTGTATATGTAAAGAAACAAACATCTTTAAGTTATTCAAAAATTTACTACTAACGTAACTGTGTGGCTTATGTGACAATTTAACACAGTTAAAGCACTTTCCTGTAATAGCTTTTGATTATAAAAATAGTCATGATATACATGTAATATATTATAAGCACTTGGGATTACGTCTTCTTTGGCACTATTCCTTTATATTCCTTATATCCTTTTAAATTAAATTCTTCCCAAGATCCCTGAAACATAAATATATGAAAACATTATACATGTACAAAACATTGCAAACAGCTGAATATTTTCATAAAAGGTACATTATGCTTTTGTTTTCATTATTCAAAAGCTTTTTCATTTCACTGTCTGGTTATATTTCCCCCAAAAATGTACTCATTGGCCAATTGTCTGAACCATTTTGCTTCTGCTGCTTTTTTAAAACTAATAACAATATGGTGTTTTTTGTATGAAAGTTAAAATACTTCTTTATTAACAATTTTGCTACTTATATTTAATAACAAATCATTTCACATTCAGAGCTACTTTAAATTTCTTCAAGTGATAAGCATCTCAAATGCTCTAAAACCATTACTTACATAACATTATAAAACTCATATTTGCCCTATCTGTAGAATGAACAAAATTAATTTCTGAGTTCAGATACATAATGCACCTTTATATTAACACTGCCGAGTTATGAATCTGAGTAAAGGGTCAGCCTTAAAATGTAATAGATCTTTCATTAGGAAGGATTTGTATGTCATATTTATCAGATTGAACAATCAAATGTAAAATGTCTTTATAAGATGCAGCAAATGTAAGCTGGCTAGACTGTCCATGTACTGCAATGTTTCTATATGTGAGATAATCTAAGCTTAACCTTTATGCTATTCAATTCACATAATGGACATTGCTCCACATTTAATTAAAACTGTCCATTCAGAGCAACTTCACCTCTATTTGTCCCCTTTACTATGTATGCATAAAAAAGCATTAATTATATAGAATTTACTGTTTTTCATTGACTGTTGATCAATATTTATTATTATATTACAGGAATCAATCCATCAATATTTCATCATTTATAAATTGTAAACCTTATTGTACTCTAACATACCGCATAAACGGGAACATTTTCCTTGCCGAGGATCTGAGCAGCTGCTGCCACCCCACATGCTGTAAAACCTCGGAAACATGTAGCAACTATAGGATGACCTAGATCTACTCCAGCTCTGTCAAATACTGAAATAAAATTATCTAACACAGTGTGTCACTAGTACAGTAATAATGGTTTTACCTAAATTTTACTTTTAAAGAATATTAGATACTCGTTACCTGAAGAAAGTGGTGATTTATATATTAATGTGAAATAATTTGTCTTAAAAGTAGCAAAATGTAAATAAAGTAGTATTTTGACTTCCAAACAAAATACAAATTCACTGTAACTATACTTTTTATCAAAATGCAACAGATGAAAAAGATGGTTCAGGTGCTTCATAGTACATGTACCTTTTTGGATACTATAAAAAAAATTCAACAAAATAAAAAAGTTTTTTGAGAAATATAGATAAAAGCATTTATGAAACATAATGTTACATAATGGGCCTATACGAGGAAATTGTTACATAATGGGCCTATACGAGGAAATTGTTACATAATGGGCCTATACGAGGAAATTGTTACATAATGGGCCTATACGAGGAAATTGTTACTAAATGGGCCTATACGAGGAAATTGTTACATAATGGGCCTATACGAGGAAATTGTTACATAATGGGCCTATACGAGGAAATTGTTACATAATGGGCCTATATGAGGAAATTGTTACATAATGGACCTATATGAGGAAATTGATGTTTGAGGATGTTTTCAAAGAATTTTTTATGAACAAATTTATGATTTATTTCATTTTTGTTTGGTTCTTTACTTAAAGGGCATTATCAATTGTGTGATGAAAACATAAAAATAAGAGTAATGCCACTTAGTTTCAAAAATTCTTCATATTTCAATCTCCAATTAAAATGACATTTTTCCATTATAATTTATTGATTATTTCATTTTAAAATGCATTATATCAAAATTTAGTTACAGAATAGATCAGAAGATCTTACCATTAGCAAACCAAAACAATAATATTTAACTTACTTGCTTTAAGTTCTGAATCTGGTTTGATTGTACCGTCTTCTGAGAATAGTTCTGGAAAGCTGACATGTTTGGAGCCTGCTATATAACCACCTCCAGTCTCCTCTGAAATTTGAAAACTACAATACCTCTTTCTGCATTTCTGTACGAAGTAACTATATTTCTTTAGAAGTACTGCAAAATCATTATTATTTGTGAAGAACTAATTTTTGTGGTTTTTGTGGATAGGTCAATGCATGAAGTTAAGGAATTTCATTATGTCTTCTGTACGATTATCTTGCGTAAAACTATTTGTAATTTACATTTTGAAAACAAGATTGCATTTGAGAAAAAATGCTATGCCACCGCATTAATACAACACTAAATAGTAGTGTAGGAACAGATTTCTTTTGTTTCTAAACAATTTTGAAGATTGTCATAATGCATAGATCCCTGACCTATCTAATTCTTAATATCAGATTAGTGGTTAAATCTGTTGTTAACTCAATAAAAGATCAGAGTAGGAATATATCAATGCACTCAAGTCTAGTGAATTTGGTGGTGAAGGTCATATTTCACACAGCCTAAATTTCATGACTACATCAAAGGACAACACAGTAAGACACTTTGTAAAAATCTAGATCAGCTGAAATCAAAGTTCACTTTACATCTTAATCTGTGCACATGGTTCAAATTTCATAGCTGTACATCAAAGGACAAGAAAGTAGGTCACATCATCAAAATCTAGGTCACCTGACACCAAAGTTCAATTTTACAACTAAAACTGTGCATGTGGTCAAAATTTCATTGCTGTACATCAAAGGACAAGAAAGTAGGTCACTGTCCCCTTGGGCAAGGCAAAATTTTGGACCCAAGGATTTAATTCAAAACAATCTTGATACAGTCCACCAAACAACATTTCAAGTCAAATATCTAAGTTGTAGCTTTCTCCCATTCAGAAAACATTTGTTTTATTTTCTGTTTTTACTATGTGTTTACTATACCTTAAAAGCCTTGAGAACTGGGCGTCAGAGTGGGGAATGAGGTTCAACGCTGGTAAATGCTATATACTGAGCATCAAAAACAAGACATCACACTTCTATGAACTCAATAATACTATCTTAAAACACGTGGACTCAAATCCTTATCTTGGTGTACTTATCTCCAACGATCTGACATGGACCAACCATATTACAAATATATGTAAAAAAGCAAGTTCAACCTTGGGCTTTCTTAGAAGAAATTTGAAACATTGCCCTCTAGATTGTAGAAAAACAGCCTTTATAGCCCTTGTACGTTCGAAAATAGAATACGCTTCAATCATCTGGGACCCGTTCTTGAAAAAAGATATTGATAAACTGGAAATATACAAAGATTAGGAGCAAGATTCATTATGAATGACTACAAGTCAAGAAAACCAGGATGTGTTACAGATATGCTGACCAGCTTGAAACTCGACTCACTACAAGACCGTAGGACCTACAACCGCCTTGTAATGCTCTACAAGATAGCAGGGGGTATGGTGCCAGCAGTGGACCCTGATAAATACCTGACTCAGAAAGTTGAAGGACGCTTAATTAAACCAAAGAGATTCAGTGACTGTGAAACCACAAACATTATAAGAGTAGCCAATAACACTAGATCATTTAAAACTATAAACGCACAAACAAATCAATTTAAAAACTCCTTCTTTGTGAAAACACTTGAGGATTGGAACCATCTGGAAGATTCAGTTGTGCATGCAGTTACAATAGGGGGCTTCAAATCAGCCCTTCAGAAACTCGACTAGAGTTCCTCCACTCCCCGTAGGACATATACCAGAAGTGGTCCTCCTACGTATTCACACAGATACAGATACAGATGTGTACATAATGAGAATCACTGCCCCCGGGCAGGGCCAATTTTGACACCAGGGGAAAAATTTGAACAACTTTGGTAGAGGACCTATAGATGATATTATATAGCAAACATCAAAGCTCTATGCCTTGTACCTTCAGACAAAAATATTTTTTATTTTTTTACTATATGTACATAATGAAAATCAATGACCCCCGGGGCGGAACCAATTTTGACCCCAGGGCTATAATTTGAACAATCTTGGTAAAGGTTCACTTCGCAAAGTCTCATGCCATATATTTAACCTCTAGCCTTTGTCAATTCAGAGAAGAAGATTTTTCAATTCAGAGAAGAAGATTTTTCAAGTTTTTACTTTATACATATAAGGAAAACTATCGCCTCTGGGGCAGGGCAATTTTAACACTAGGGGCATAATTAAAACAACTTTAGTAGAGGACCCATAGATGATATTATATACCAAATATCAAAGCTCTAAGCCTTGTACCTTCAGACAAGAAGATTTTTTAATTTTTTACTATATGTACATAGTGAAAATCAATGACCCCTGGGGGTGGGGCCAGGCCAATTTTGACCCCAGGGCTATAATCTTGCTAGAGGTTCACTACATAATGTTTCATGAAAAATATCTTAACTCTAGCCTTTGCAAATTTAGAGAAGATGATTTTTTAAAGTTTTTACTATATACATATAAGGAAAACCTATGGCCCCCAGGGTGGGGCTAGTTTTGACACTAGAGGTAAAATTTGAACAACTTTGGTAGAGTACCTATAGATGATATCATTTAACAAATATTAAAGCTCTAGGCCTTGTACCTTCTGACAATAAGATTTTTTTGATTTTTTCTTATATGTATATATTGAAAATTAATGACCCCCGGGGCGGGGGCAATTTTCACCCCAGGGCTATAATTTGAACAATCTTGCTAGAAGTTCACTTCACAATGTTTCATGCAAAATATCTAACCTCTAGCATTTGTCAATTGCTAGAAGAAATTTTTTTAAAGTTTTTACAATATACATATAAGGCAAACCAATGACCCCCGGGGCGGGGCCGATTTTGACCCCGGGGCTATAATTTGAACAATTTGGGTAGAGGTCTACCAGACAATGCCTTATGCAAAATATCTAAGCTCTAGGCCTTTTTGGTCTTTACAAGAAGGATTTTAAGTTTTTACTATATGTACATATAGTGAAAATCAATGACCCCCGGGGCGGGGCCTATTTGGCCCCAGGGCTATAATTTGAACAATCTTGGTAGATTTCTATTAGACAATGCCTTATAAAAAATATCTAAGCTCTAGGCCTTTAGGGTCTTTACAGGAAGGTATTTTATGTTTTTACTATATGTATATATAGTGAAAATCAATGACCCCCTGGGCGGGGCCGATTTTGACCCCAGGGCTATAATTTGAACAATCTTGGTAGATTTCTACCAGACTACTATATGTATATATAGTGAAAATCAATGACCACCGGGGCGGGGCCGATTTTGACCCCAGGGCTATAATTTGAACAATCTTGGTAGATTTCTACCAGACAATGCCTTATGCAAAATATCTAAGCTCTAGGCCTTTAGGGTCTTTACAGGAAGGTATTTTATGTTTTTACTATATGTATATATAGTGAAAATCAATGACCCCCGGGGCGGGGCCGATTTTGACCCCAGGGCTATAATTTGAACAATCTCGGTAAAGGTCTACCAGACAATGCCTTTTGCAAAATATCTAAGCTCTAGGCCTTTTGGATCTTTACAAGAAGATTTTTTAAATTTATTCTTATAATTCCTTTTGGTTGCCATGGCAACCAGATTTCTACATGGAATGAAATTCTTTGAACAACTTTGGAAGCCCTTCACCCAAGGATCAATCCTGCCAAGTTTGGTTGAAATTGGACTAGTGGTTTTTCACAAGAAGATATTTTAAGTTCACTATATAATCTATATAACACACACACACACACACAAACAAACAAACACACACACATACATAAACACAGGTGAATCGCTATATGCCACGGTGGCATAAAAAAAAACAAAAAAAACAGTCACAAATTTTAGAACCCATGAAAATTTTCTTTGTGATAAAACCACGAAATTTCATGCCTGGGAAATTAAGTGAATTCACAGTATTGCTAAATCACAAATGACCATAAAAGATTTGTTATAGGCTATCAAAAGCTTTATTTTTTAAGATTTTTAGCCCTTAACCTGCTAGAACCAAAAGTGATCAGCCTTTGCCACCAGTATAGAACCATGTCAGCTTGCAAATCCGTACAGTCTGACCAGGCTCTGTAGATACTAGTAGTAGCTTAAAATCAAAATACATGTACCTTAAAACCGACTGTTTCAAATTTAAAGGAAGGAAAGTCCTTTACAATAATTCAGCAGATTAAGCTTTAGTAAAACACAAACTACATGTAGTACTGAAAAGTGGCAAGTAAATGTTTTACCGCTGCTCTCCTCCAGATGAATGAACAAATTTTCAAATAAATAAACTATATACAGTGAAAGTTGTGAAAACCGGATGGCTTTCCGACCGAGGGTTTTGTCCTGTTTTCTCAGCGGTCCGGTATTCTCAATGTCCCCTTCAGCTATTCAGGATCCTATAAACCGAGCAATAACTTACAAAGGATGCTGAATGTATATTTACATTTTCATGATCATGAGTAAGTATATTGCTTATAAAAATACTATAAAATTTGTTTTAATTGTTTTTGTCCCATTATTGCATATATATACAATAAAATTTTGGATTTAAACGAACAGCAGTGACCTCATAACGATAAAGTCCGATTACACCCGCATATGTTTACATTTGGGTAATGGATAATGATTTAACGAACATAGTTTACTTTGTTTGTTTATAATAATGCCCCAATTGTAAATATTGCCTATACCATATTTGTCAGATAGAGATTTTTAAAGTAGATCTCGGCAAAGTTTCACTGTCTTTAACTAATTTAAATTTGTCAGTTATAGACATTGTTCCGTTACCGCTCAGTTAGCGTATTAGACACAACCAATTGATAAGTACACAAGGTTATTTACACCTTTGTCGTCCGGTATTGTCAGGGTAATTGTCTATATAATGGACTTTGTAGTCCCCTTTCAATTGCCGATATTCGTTTTTTACAGATTTCGGTATTGTCAATGTTTAATGCAATAGTTTAAAGAAGGGAAAATTTGGGACTGAATTATTCGTCCGGTATTTAGAGAGTTCCGATTTTCTCAGCGTCAGGTTTTCTCAAATTTCACTGTACAATAATTCATGTGACCAATGGCATTTCTCAAAAAATCTTGTTCAAAATGTATGAAAAACACACAATTCAGTGGGGCAATCTTTTTATAATTAAGGTAGGTTTTATATTGTATTTAACAATTTTGTCATTATCAATTATTAGCCAATCACCATAAAAATAGTTGATCTTTTGAAATATATTACTAATTCAACTGCACAGTGAAAAAATGTGCATAATGTCACTTTAACTGTGTAAGGACATATATTTACATATTTCAGGTAATTTATGTGAATTGGTATGCCTTATGTGTATTGTAAAAGCACTTCCATGTTAATTTTTAAATTATCATGAAAATTAGCATTATTCTGGAAGTGAACTGCTGCAAGTAAAAAATTACCATCTACTATAGTTGGATGGCTAAGAGCTCTAGCATCTACAAGCTGTGCCTTCTTTGACTTCAAGATTTCAAGAACTTCATCATAATTACGAAACAATGTTTTGTCAAACTTTGCAACAAAATCAGATCTCTGAAAAAAAAAATTGAAAGGCGAAAAGTAAACAAAGATGGTACTAAAAGTTCAGAGAAATAGACCTGCCTGAATAAATATAATTTCAACATACACAAATTGGTATGCAGTCTTATAATCTTATATTAACATTTTAACAAGAGGGCCATGATGGCCCTGAAACAATGACCCACACCTTCTGGGCAGGGCCAATTTTGTCCTAAGGGCTTTCATTTGAACAAACTTGATAGACGCTAACCAGAAGATAATTCATGCTTATTATCTAAACTCTAGCTCTGGTTTTTTTAACAGAAGATTTTATAAGTTTTTATTATATACATATAAGGAAAATCAATGATCCCCAGGGAGGGGCCAATTTTAACCCCCAGGGCCCTTATTTGAATAAAAATGGTAGACACCTATTAGAAGATGTTTCATGCTAAATATCTAAGTTTTCGCTCTAAAGGTTTTTGAAAAGAAGATTTTTTAAAGTTTTTACTATATACATAAAGGGAAAAACAATGACACCCTGGGGTGGGGCCAATTTTGACCCTAGGGCTTTTATTTGAACAAACTTGGTAGACAAGCACTAGAAGATGTTTCATGCTTAATAGCTAAGCTCTAGCTATTTGGGTTTTTTAAAAGAAGATTTTTTAAGTTTTTACTTTATACAAATAAGGAAAATCAATGACCCCCCCCCCCCCCCCCGGGCAGGGCCAATTTTGACCACAGGGCATACATTTGAACAAACTTAGTAGACACTGACTAGATGATGTTTCATGCCAAATATTTAAGCTCTAGCTCTTACGGTTTTCTAAAAGAAGATATTTCAAGTTTTTTCTTTCGGTTGCCATGGCATGAGTTCTGCTTGGAATTAAATTCTTTGAACAATTTTTAAAGTTGACTACCAAAGGAACATTCCTGTGAAGTTAGGATAAAATTGGCAAACTGGTTAGTGAGGAGATGTCATTTAAAGTAAAAGTTTAGGACGGACAGTGGACGGACGCCGGAAGAAAAGCGATCACAAAAGCTCACCATGTCACTGTGTGACAGATGAGCTAAAAAACTCTAAAGTCACAAAACATATACGCCAATAATTTATGTACTATATCAATTAAAGGACCTGTAGACTCAGAATGCTATCATTTTTTATTTTTCCTTTTTTAACTTATCTTGTTTCAGCTTCCAAATAGTTTCTCAATTGCCATATAAATAAACTATCTTCTGCTCCTTTTTTCTTTGGCAATTGGTATAATTATAGTAATTTAGTATTTTGTATGGAAGTCAAAATACCACTTTGTTTACGTTTTGCTACCTTTAGGACAAATTACTGCATGTTCAGTGTTATTCTCTTCAGTTGTTTTAACATCTAAAATGCTCTGAATATATCATAAAAACATTATTGAACACATATTTGACCTTTCTAAAGAATTAGAAAAATTATTGATTTCTGAGCCATAATGTGCCTTTAAGACAAAAATGACATAAAAACCTCATATTCAGGTTCCTCTTCTGACACTTCAAATCCATCATCTAGCCATTTTTTAAGTCCCCCATCTAACACTGATACATTTCTGTGACCAAACACCTATAATAAATAGGCATGTGAATACTATTCATTGGTCACTTATTAACACTTATTAACAAACGAAAAAATGAAAAAAAATGGCAAATTGAATTGTTTTTTTAATTTGTGGTTGTTTTTTCATAAATGATACATGCTAAAATTATTCACTCTTGATCTGGATTTTAAACAGATGCTTAAAATAATGATGTATAGCAGGGCTGCTGTAAGTTGAAGTTTGGGATTCATTTACTCCTGATTTTGGTTTGTGACTTCCAAAATAAAATGCTTTTCTTCTTTATCTATATAATTTGACTTCCAACATCAGACATTTTGCAGTTTCTGATATCCAAATTTTGGACTTTAATGAAAACCCCGATGTACCATTCAAAACCTATTCTATTTTATTTTTAATACGTAACATCCAGATACGAGTATAAGAGGAAAAGTAAAATAAAAGAATATCTATATAATCCAGATATAAGAGAAAAGGAAAATAAAAGAAATATTTAGTCTACTTTCCTACTTTACTCAAACTGGCAAGGGTCATCAAAAGGGAAACAATGATATTTTCAGACTAGTAGTGTCAGTATATATTAAAAATAAACATATTGATTGTTTACCCTAAACTGCCACCAAGTCCTGTATGCAGACAGTGGGCCATATCTATCATAAGCTACCACATGTGTGTCGGGCCACACCCCTAATGACTGAACATAATCTGTAAAACAGTTTTCATCAGGAAATCCTACTTTGATACCAGGTATTTCAGGTGTACATTCGAACAAGTCAAAATGGACTGATTGAGGTATATGACCCCTGAAAAATACATGAGCAAAATCATTTTTATAAATTTAATATCATATATTATTATTTATCACTTTTAGCAGTTATCACCAATAATGCCTTTTTTGTTAATCTGCTTTATTTTACATTACATGAATTCACTTTAATTAACCAGGTTAATGGCAGTAGATAAATAAATATTTGTAAGATACAGCAACTGTTGCTGCAAATTTCAGATTGTTTGGCACACTACAACTTCCCATTATAACTGAAGGCATGCCTTAGAGAAAAAAAACAAAAAAAACAGTTAAGCATACATGTTCTCCTTTTCCTTATACTGGTACCAACTAAATAAATATACTACATAGACTATTTATGTTTTGTTTTAAGAAGTAATGTTTAAGATGGCTTTTCTAAAAGTACTTAAGCTTTGATACTTTTATAATATTATCATTTACTGCTGACAAAGTAAATAGTGTATTAAAGTGTTACATCATTGATCATTGACAGTTAGTTAATCTTTATCAGAGACATATATACATATTAATGCCTCTGTATGTATTTACTGTAAAGGTTCAAAATATTAATTAAATTCAATCATAAACATTTACTTTTTATATCCTTCATTGTAAGTATCAGCGTATCTGTCCATCACAAATGATGTATCAAGAATTCTTAGTCTCCTTGTAGCTTCTTTCTGAACATTGGTACCTATCTGTTCCCGTAACCAATTAGTAGAAACAACAGTCAGAACCCTTGAAAGCGTCATTGTTTAGATCTATATCTGAAATTACAAATTACAGGAGAAGTTATGCCAGACTTGGAATCATCAATCAACTGTTGATTATCTCTGTAAGAAAAAAAAATTTTATGTATTAAAATTTCATTTAGTTCGAAACAAAAAGATAGAATGAAAATATGATCCAACTAAAAATAAGAAGAAGGTTGCATCTAAAAGTAAGCAGAAATCATCTGATAAATATGCATATATTTATAAAGAACACTTTAGGAATGAAACGCTATAAATATGTTTTAACATCTCCAAGGATTACATGTTTCACAAATATACTTTCTAATTCAACCACAGACAGCAAAAATATTTGACACTGACATTTAATATGACACTGTTTTGACAGATATACATTTTACCGTCATTGAAACGTGACTATTTAACCTAGTTTCGTTCACTGTCATTAGTTGTTCCTGGATTAAACAGAGAAAATCATATCTTTAAATATGTTTAAAATAAGAAATAAAATAGTAAAATGTTGCTACTTACTGCAATTATATGGTTTAAACGTTAAAAAAGTACAAAGATAAATGGGTGCAAATGGCGCGATTGATAGAAAGGGGCGTAACTTTTAAGAAATCATGTTCTATAAGTGGTCCAAATGTAGTTGTCGTTCGTATGTGACTGAATACCGCGTATTAGTCCGATTAAAGTAAAATTTAGCGTCAAACAAATTGCAACACAAGCTTTTTTTTACATTTTTGGTCTGTTAAACATATCATATAAAACAGGTAAAAATCCTAAAAATTCTAAACCTGGCTATGTTGTTGGTGTCTTCGTGAATTTCCCAAATCACAGTATCAGCCCTTTTAATTGTACCTTTTTAATGCTCGCATTTGATTTTAGATTATTCATTCTTCAATGTAGATTATCTAATTAATGTGACAAATTGAATAAAATCTGGGTTTTTGTCCCACCCACATCTAAAGAAAAATGAAACAGCAAAATTAGGGGGCGGCAAACAAAGTGACCCCTCGGAAGCATTAATCACAACAAAATTACATAAGAATTGCAGACTCGGTTTGATTGAGTCTGCACATGAGGGATAATGATTAAGTGCAACATCCCTTACCCCCTAGCACCGGCTTGAGTGGTACTCAATTCTCAACACTTAATTAATAGTGTTGGCATCAATGATCCCGAAGGACCAGAAAAACAAACGATATTGAACATTCCAAAATATACAAGAAAAGAAGGCGTTCAATGAACGCAACCCCACGCGACCCAGCAACAAGAACTAGCGGCAAGGAGCCCAGGAGGACCCCATCAAAACAGAACAGGGCGCAAAGGAGAGCACGGACAGGCTTATCACTAAAATGTTACATTAGAAATAAAGTAACCGACAAGGAAATAAATAAAATAAATAGTTGATTAATAGGCCCACTAAGCAACAGGGCACAGGGAAGGGGGATACGAAATTCGGGGAGGGGCGAAACAAAGAAACAAAACTAGGGGCAAAAGGGAAGATACTTACCGTAGACGAGAAAACACCAAGGGACACAAACAAAAGTGTCACCAGAACAGTTTGAAATAACAAGACATATATCTGAGGAACACAGAGGGGCGCCGCCTTGGAACGGTCAGTACTACTGGGGAGTTAAAACCGGTTAATGGTGCACCAAACCTCACTCTTAGCCCAAACATGTTCCTACAAACGAGACAGTGTTAATAAAATGACCAAGGCGGTGCTCAAAATTGTTCCTTCTCTTCATGTCTTATTTTGGTAAAAATTATAACTTCTGTGTCCGCGCTCCTATTTATCTTTGACATTTGTCGACTAGTATTCTCTTTCATTTTGCCCCTCCACCCTCGCTGATTTTCCTTCTTCACATCCCCTTGCAAATTTCTGAACTCATCATCCCCGCCCTCACCTATTTTAGTTAATTTTGCGGCCAATTTTAGTGATCTTGCTGTTTGATCTACCTTGTTGATCTTCGTTTTCATATTTGATCGAACTTATTCGCGATGGTGATAAATGTAAATATGAGAATAAGGATCACACAAGAAATTGAATGATAACAAACAAAATGCAACACAGAACCACCGGCACGGAACCTAGTAGGGCACGACAAGCTACCGTTTAAGTCCCTTAGCACCGGCTTTAACATAATTCAATATTCACCATGAAAATAAGATTTTTATCATATAACCTTCAATGTTGCATAAGCAGTGTGTCCTCGAGTAAAAGACTGTCTCGCCCGTGTGTTCTTTGTGCCGACGGTCGTTATGTCATTGTATGGTTTTCTGTTTCTTTTAATTTGATCTTTTTTCCTTTTGGGTGGTCAAGTATTCCTACTGGAAAACTGTTTATAAATACAATTTTTTTCTGCAAGCGATCAGATAACCGTCGGTATCTCAACGGGACGTTTTTTCGGGTATCCCGGGGCCCGAGTCTGCACATTATTTCGCCCTGTAGCATTAAAAATAAACCATTTTCATACTTAAATGTTTAATTCTGCTTATGCTAGTACAAGGGGCGCGAACGGTTGCTTACTTTGTTTCCAGAATTTTTACATTTCATTTACCACTACCGTCTATGATTCCCGGCCCCCTCGCAATATATAATTTTTAGAGCTCATATAAAATCAACGTATAGGTTAAACTTGACTCATTTCTTCGAGTATCCCCAGCACTGACCCAGGAGAAAGAAGGTTAGCAAATGACCGTTTGCACTATATGTGAATCCAGATTAATGCTCATTGTCGCTACTCTTTTGAAAATCTACGAGAAACCCGAAAATACAATAAGATAAAAACAGAAATCCAAATTCATTATATTCTATTTATCAACAAATACTCACATTTTGTTATAAAAAAACAGAAGATAGTTCAATCGGTAGAATTAGAATGAATGGTTATTTGAAATTTTTGTTACAAGTTTTTTATTGAAAAATACATGTATCCATAGTCTTCCAAAGTGTGCTTATCTTCCATCTGAACATACATCTGAAAATAGAAATAAAATCTATAAAGAAAGTTCTTGACTAATTTGTGTTATTTGCATAAAACTTGATTAAACATGGTGTTTGTTTTTCCTTAGAAACTATATTTAGACATTGTAACTGTTGCGTGTTCCGATAGATGTTTATCATGTACATAATACATGTACATGTATATAATGCATGTTTATAGAATACTCAAAAAATGAAAACCCAAAAAGTTGCCAGCATTGAAAAATAAATGTTGATGGTTGAGTTAAATTAACAACAATAATGATAAAATCTGACTCTTTTCAAAATTAAAAGTTGATGAAATGATGGAAAGATAGTTTTTAAACGTTTCTCGTTTTTCTTATAAATTATTTCTGCAATTAACCAACCTTGTCACTCATGCTGTGTAACTCACTGTTAGCATAAACTGATATAATGCCAAACATGTCTTCATCCTCATTACAAACACTACCGTTTCCATCTGGCCTCTGACGTTCGTTCAACTTTCCTCGAGGGATAAATTCTTCTGCTTCTGGATTTAATTTCACAGCATCTTTTCTTTTGTTGATAAGACTTTCATCATTAACAACTTTCTGTGTGGTGACATTTGGAGGCGGCCATATCAGATAGAACTGCAAATTTCCCTGATTCGTGGTTACATTTTGCAAACACTTTGACTTCTTCTTATTCCTATATCTGACCCACCTTTCCCACTGCTTTTGTGAAATCTTTTTCTTCCTTGACTTTCTACCTTTTTCTTGAGTTTTCTGTTCATCTACAAAATAAAATAAAAATTGTCGGTATCTTCCTAAAAAGGAGAGATAAACGGAATCCATGAAGAACGCACAATACAACAGAATTGAAAATGTTGCAAGCTCGGTTTGATTGAGATAATTCTAAACAGTATTAAAATGTATAAGTAATCGTCCACGCCCATTAGCTTAAGCAAAATTTATTCATTGCAATATTGAAATTTTGAATTTATAAAATTTTGAACATTCCAGTCAAAGCTTTCGCTCCTCTTCGATGGTGGTAACGTGGTTTCAATTGCAATTTCTTTACATTCATTATATAATTATACAAATGCAATTTCAATATAGATTATATTATAGATATATAATATTTACACGTAATTCTATATACATTGTATACTAGTATATTTTTCGGAACCATTCGCACTTTTTCATGGAATGATTATTATTACTGTTTCGTAATTTCAAGGAATCTATGTTGCTGCTGTATATACACTCTTATAAGTACGAAAAATGTACATTTACCTTCTACTTTACTATCACCTGGTTTAAATATATTTGCTTGTCCTTTATAGTTTCCTTCCATTTTCTCTTCTCAGATTTAATTGTTATATATTCTTTGTCAGCACAACTTAAATCGCTTATTTTAGACGTAGACACTGTTGCTTAGTTTTTACGTCCAAAGATATCAGTGTCACGTCATAACGTTCTCCAGTACAATTATTCGTGTCGTCATGTCACCAGGATCAAATCAAATTTAATATACACGTACAGTGTACAAACAATAATTATAATAATAATAATAATGTCCCTAACATGAAAGGAAAATCAGGCGTCTTGAAGGGATCAACTCCTAAAATTAAATCACCTACCTTTATTATGCCAAAGCACCAATAATTATTGTTTTTGTTCTGTCTGTTATTCTTTATCCGTTTCTACAGACGATTTAAACTGTAGCCGAGGTCTGCCACGAATCCCGGGATTTTCATTGGTCAGTGTAATTTTTGTGCTGGATTTTGACAATCAAATGCCTGAGACATGAGCTTGAGCTGAGCACATTCCTTTATAACCTCTGAACATGGTAATTTCAGTCTTTCGGATGAGACCTTCAATGGAGATCCCGTGTATGTGTGCTAAAGGAGAAGCTTCTTAAATTGGGGCATATTTCTGTATCTGTATCTTGCACTATTCTCCAAAATTTAAAATGACTAATACTCTTCTTAGGTACTCGCTCAAAAGGTGGCGAGTAAATATAAACTCAAGTATACACTCACATATTCCTGGGACTGAATAATTCCAACTTGGACGCACCATACATTTGTTTAGAGTTTTACGAAGTTTCAGGGTATTGAAATATTATTCTGAATAAATGCATCGACGTTCACATCCTAGGAAGTTTCTATTTAATACACAGATTCGGTGACGGAAGTATTTGTGTTTTACGAACAGGTCGGTAATGTACGTGTTGTTTGTCTGGAGGTGTTATTCAAACCCAAGATATCTGGATAAAGCGGCAATCACATTTTCTAAGTCACTGCTTCTGGCGTTTGCTGTTTGTTTCAGTAGCTAGAATAACTCTTACGATAGGTGCCTGCTTTTTAAATTTTTCTTTTAACGTTTTATCTGTGATATGAAGGCTTCATAACCTCTGATCCCCTTTTAAAATTTTATTTTGTTTAGTTCCGCCGATTGTTCTCTCGTTTAGGCCATACGCTTTCTTTAGCTTGGGGGGACCATAAACCGCTTTCAATTATTGAATGACACAAACGACGCATGAACACATTTGTGGATGAGTCTAAATTCAAATTTGCATCATTAGTAAGTAAGTAACGACTTTATTTAATTAGGCTAGCACATTCGATTTCCCGATCGTCCATGTTGGCCTAAGCAAAATTTTCAAATCGAGCCTGAAATATTGTTAATTTTGTCGTTTGTGCTTTTTAGGGAATCTGTTCATTCTGGATTGCACATAATGGCATACCATGTGGGTCACCGACAATTTTACACCTTTATAAAGGTATTCTTAATAGGTTAGACTTGATGATTTAACGTACTGTATATGAAATAAAAAACAACTTTACATAGACCACAGAGTAGTTTATATTTCAACACTGATGATATTAATTTTGGTCATACAGATTACGCGGTATTTCTTTCAAACATTCATATTAGTAAAATCATGAAAATGATCTGCACTTTCAACAATGGCCCAATACTTTATATTCGTGTCTGTAGGTCTTTTCTTGTGTATTGGTTCCATCTCATATGTGCCTTTATCACAAGCCGTGCCAGAGACTCGCATAATATAATTTTATTTAATTCGTGCAATAGATTCAGTATTGAACTTACACTCATTCAATATCCTCTATTTATGTCTACTTAAAAAGTATCTCACCATTCCCAGAACTTATCGTATATACATGTAGTCATAAGTAAAACATTTATAAAAACTAAAAAAAAAAATTAAAGGTCCATTATGCCTCAGAAATGCTTACAATTTAATTTCTCAAACACTTTATTTTTGGTATCTTGTTGCAGTCTGAAAAAGATACCCATTTGCCACATAGATGAACTATCTTTTGCTTTCTTTGCTCCTTTTGGCAATTTGGTATAATTACATGTACAAGTATAGTGAATTAGTATTTTGTGTGATAGTTAAAGTACTATTTTGTTTACATTTTGCTACATTTATAAAAGATTACTTCACTTTCAGCGCTACTTTGTTCAGTTGTAAAACATTTTACATGTTCCAAATCCATTATTAGAAAATTATTAAACATGACTGACATTTCAAAACAATTAAAAAATGGATTTTCAAGGCATAATGTGCCTTTAAGGACTGGTTAAACAACAGCAACACATCACAGAGACCATCAGACTTTATAACATTATAATGTAACTTATATTTATCATACACTTACAAAAAACGTATAAATCACAAATGAATATCTACTTTAGTAATGTGCTACAACAATGGTAATGTAATAAAAGAAAAGAACACAATGTTGATTTTTTATACAGATCTAAAAGTTTTCATTTCCACTTCTGTAAATCACGATTTCTGATCAACTTTTCTTTTATATTCATCGGGTCCAATCATACTAAATTCCTGCCATGATCCCTGAAACAAATTATAAATAGTTTTTATAATCTACAAAAAATATGTTATATCAAGCAATATAACAACAATGATTTATAATAATACAATAACTTATTTGTATTTCTTCCTTGTACATCATATTACATGAAGCAGACAACAACGGATCCGTTATAAAGACCGACAGTGACATTTCAGATTCGTGAATTCAAGATTTCAACAAATTAAATACATATGTACATTCATATTTTCACGACTTCAACTTTTAAACTTCATGGATTCAACACTTCACGAAATCATAACATTTGATTATTTCCGGTCATATAACCTGCCAACAATCTTTATAACCAATAAATAAAACAGCAAACTTCCTTTATTTGAGAAAATGAAAAATTACTTCATGAATAGACAGAAGCCGTGTATAAAGTTTTTCTAAACGTCCCGATCATCCAATGAAAAGCAACGTTACAAACTTGCAGTATTACAATCTGCCTGGGTTATGTAATCGAATAAGTATGTATTTTCAACAAAATTGGAAGTGTTTTTCTCTCAGGTCAAAAAGCAGACGACAACCTAGCCAGATATATAATTAACATAAGGTCCTCTGATAACAAAAAGGCAAGAATTTACTTGATAAACTGGCACGTTTTCTTTGCCTAGAATATGGCAAGCCCCTGCAACACTGCATGCCGTCAGCCCTCGCAGACACGTTACCAAGAGTGGCTTGTCAAGATCAATACCAGCCTTGTCAAACACTGAAACAGAGGAATAATTTTCAATACAAATTAATGTTGTTGTTGTGGTTTCTTTTGTTGCTATTGTTTTTGTTTGTTTTTTTTCCAAGGAAGAAATATACAGTCCCTGTTTAGACTTAATGTCAGTACACAAACCGCTTTTAAGTGAAAAAGCAAGAAGTTTTTTTTTTTTAATTTTCAATCCGGGTAGTAAAGATTTGCCGCTGTAGTTGCGTCTTTTCTGCATATCGATTTTTTATATCAAATCTGTGTGTGAAAGACCGCCTGCTATACAAGATCACCCTGTAAATAAATAGAGGATATTAATTCAAGTTTCTTCTATAAATACAGGATTTATTTTCATCGAGTGGTATGAAAATTTTACGAGTGAAATATGATAATTTCCATACCACAAGATGAAAATAAATCCTGCATTAATAGGAAAAAACTTAATTTTCTGCTTATCTTATACTTTTTTCTCTTTTTTAACCTTAAGAATTCGAAGAATTCCCTTTTAATTTTGTGTATTGGCTAAATTTAGAAGAAAGTAGACCAGAAAGACAATACGGAAAATATCCTTCACTGCAGTGAAAAATAAATTTTTACAGTGAAAATACGAAAAATGTAAATACGCATTTTATTTCATCAATATTTCTCAATATTTCATTTAAAGGTATATAATAAAGACGTTTCCTTGACAACAATTCTTTGATTGAAAAGAACAAAGAAACTCCCAAATATAGACCACTTTTATACAAAGGACATGTTTGGTTTCCTTGGATGGCCTTTGTTCACAAGTGTGACTGTAAATTTATTTGGTGCAGCACGTCTTTTCTTTACATATTTACTAAACATATTAACAGCTCACAGTGGTGTTCTCTCGGCAATGTTAATCATCACAAACATATTCATGGAATATTTCCAAATTTCTCTGTCTGATTACGAAATAACGAATAGGTTTTTGGACTGCCAAATCTTCATACAATGAAGAATCATGTTTTAGTAGCTTTTAATCTTTCTTTTTATGGCCTGCACCGTTCGCAAATCAGCCAATACTTGTTTTGAAATTTTCCCTTTAAATGATAAATAGTTCTGCCAAGTTTAAAAAAATGGAGGGGCTAATTTTAAACTTTAGATACATTGTATATAGTGTGGTAAGGAAAAATTCACGTAAGATACCGGTGTTACTATTACTGAAATTAATCACTCTACTGTCTTTATAATTGCGTTGTGTAAATATATTCGATGACGTAACAAATGAGCGACGTCACTGATGTAACGGCGTGACGCGTCATTATACTTGAATTGCTCAAGATGCCTTCCAACACGAATTCTCTCGACAAAAGATTTACTCTGCTAGAAGCTGAACGTCGGTTTAAAAAAGCCTGTGATCAGATCATAGTGCTTAACCAACGCTTCAGTGATATGAAGAAACGCTACAAGAACGCCAAGACAAACAAGAACAGACACTTTCAGGCTAGTCTGAGGCGGAAATTGGCGGTAATCGAGGGGACTCGCAACATGTTTCACGATTACGCTCGTATCAAGGCAGAGAAGATAGCAGATATGAGGGCAGAACTTTTTGGTGAATCAGTGGAGATAGTGTCAGGCTTAACTCCTTCTGATTAACATCCTGGTCCTTTTTAGGACCAACCAATTATCTCGAGAAAAAAATCTTTTCTCATATTGTCAACATTGCAAATAAAATATCTAATAATTGCTGATTTATTAAATTTATATGATTCTAATTTGTAATTGCTTCCTTTCAGGACAGGGTAGCCGACAAAGTCATGGATACGGTAAATAACTTATATTATACTATTTGTTTGTTAATTTGTTTATTTGTTAGTTTGAATGATTTGTAGTCACAACCGACAAAGCAAATGTCATGGCGACATTTCAGCTTTACTGGTGGAAGAATACCTCCGATGCTCCTACATGAATTATTTCAGACAGGAGTGGACATATGAGTAGAACCATCAATCTTTGGTAAGCTGGCTTCATACCTACTTCAAATGGAAGAATCCAAAGTCCCTGACGGGTGTCGAAAAATACATCATACATTTATAAATTAATCTTGATAAATAAACGACAAGACGCACTTCGGATTTTCAAATAGATTTAAGAATAACATACTAGCTTTAAGTTCAGCTTCCGACTTCATTGTTCCATCTTCTTTAAACAAATATGGAAACCCCACATGTTTTGATCCGGCTATAACTCCGCAATTATCGTCTGAAATGAGAAAAGAAAATGCACGTTTATCTAGTGTTTTACTAAATCTATTTCAAAGTATTTGCTCCTAAAAACGCGTTCTTATATGTTTATTCCTTTCTTGTCTTATTGCGTTTTTTTTTTCATTTTGTTTTTCAGCTACATTATAAAACCTGGTCTTGTAACTTTGATTTTAATTTTAAGTCGAGTCCGCTTCTACAAACTGACCAAGTGATTCTTCTTAGAATGACAAAGTACACGTGTTACAATGAGATGGAATCAGAATAACTACTAAAAGCTCAAATACAAAGAGGAATCGTCAGTTTTAGTGTAACTGATCTTGAAACATAGTATCAAAATTACCAAATGTGTAAAAATGATTGCTCTCTACATATTCACCATACCTTTAATGACAGAATGATGGTCAAGAGGTCTGGAATCAACCAGTTGTTCCTTGTTCGTCTTTAAATTCTCCAGCATATCTTCAAAACTCCGATATAAACTTTTGTCGAAATTTGGAACAAAATCTGATCTCTGAAAAATTAAATCGTTTTTGTTATTCAAACTGTCAAATTCACTGTCTCATATATGTCTTAAAAGTGTTTATGCAAACAATTTATCTATAGCCTATCAAGCAAAATGAGTTCATTTGTAAATCAGAAGTGGTTAAATATACTGACAAATATCAACTATTTATGTTGTAAGAATTCAACATCATGTGACTATACACTATACAATTATTGATACCTCAACTTCCGGTTCCTCTGACGTCACTTCAAAACCATCTGCCACCCATTTCTTCAGTCCCCCATCTAACACAGATATATTTTTATGACCAAGAGTCTGAAAACACGAAAATTTAATTATACCGTTCTATTAGATGGAAAAAACATGATTTAGCAAAATAAAATATTTAATGAAATACGAGAATATCGGCTGTTGGTGTGATGATTCGTTTTACGAAAGTCATAAGATTTCGGTTAAAAATAAACACCTGCACCCAATTGTATAAACGTTACTTAAATTTGACCACTGGATTAAATCCACGGTTAAGTTAAACTTTGGTTAACCGATTGCATAAAAATTTGGTTAAATTTAAACCACGGTTTAGCGTGTAACATTGTTAGCGTTTAACCTTGCGTTAATTTAACCAAAGTTTATATTTATACAATTTGGTGAGTTTATACAATCTGGTGCAGATTTTCTTAATAATATCCTTACTTAAGATACTTAAATTAAGCTGCATTAAATATTTTGCAGTCGGCTTAAAAACCAAGTATTCTACAGTTTCGTTAACCTTTTAAACAGTTTTGTTGTAAATCTGATCAATTATTGTTCATAAATCATGATTTTAAACGGAAAACGCCACGGTAACACTTAAGTTCGTATAGGAATTTTAACATGAAAATGAAGACTATAATCAGCTGCTAAGTCACAAATTTAAATAAGTTAATCAGGTAATATGAGATTTTCTTGTGCAAACACACTTTAACCCTTTTAGCTTCACGGTGCATTAGTCCTGGCGTTGAGAAAAAAGTAACCCAATTTATTAATGAAATGTAACTATTTCCTTTTTGTGAAATTTATTAAATGCAGCTTTAAAGTCACAAAAAACGTATACCCTAAATTGCCACCATGTTCTGTATGCAGCTGAAATAGGACCGGTTCTGTCATACGCAATCACGTGAGTGTCCGGCCATATACCTAGTGACTGAACATAGTCCGTAAAACAGTCTAAGTCCGGCCAACCCAGTGTGATACCTGGCTTCTCCGGCGTACACTTGTAGATGTTGAAGTGAACTGAGTGCGGAATGTGTTCTCTAAAACAAGTCGGTAATATATACTGTATATATGAAACAAATTTTAAATCGTACCAATCTGAAGTAAACTTTCCACCAAAAACAGCATTTCTAACTGACATATGAAAATATGATATTTAATTGTGCCAAAAACAAACAAGTTGTCAATAGCACACATAATAAGTGAAAAACAAATGTAACTTAAACTTAAGTTATTCTCCGATTTGTACCTTCATAAACAACTTTTTTATTTTGTCATATACAAAATTTTACAAAACAAATGGTTACAATGGATCTTCATTTTCAATTTAAGAGGTGTGTCGGGGTTTTTAAATAAAGATGAATATATTCACAAAAAAGGAAAAAAACTTACTTTTTATAAAGGTCATTGTAAGAATCCGCGTGTCTGTCAAGTACAAATGAAGTATCAAGAATTCTTATATTCCTGGACGCTTGTTTCCCTGGACTGGTACCAATATGTTGACGTAACCATTTTGTAGATACATTCGTCAAGGCACGTGATACAGTCATTCTTTATACCTTCAAAAAAAAACAGCAACAATAAAACAACAATACTATTGTAAAAATAACGAGACACACAGACAGGAAACTAGAATTGAATAATTTTATAAGCGTTTGTCATGATAAGGTAACAAATATAGATAGATTGCACGAAAAATAAAATCAAGAGTGTTAAGTTTGAACTTTTAGCAATTTATAAACGAACACTAGGGAACTCAAAGAGCCTAGCACAATGTCGCATTCTCTCTATAAAACGAAAACTTTTCAGACTCGGTCGTAATAATCGCGTTACACTTTGTCCGAATTTCTTATTTTCATTTTACTCGGGAATCCAATGTGTTTCCAAAGTTAAAAAGTGTTGCGCCTTGTACTATAGCTTTTCGTAGATATAATGTGTGTTCTATTTTATCAAGGCACGTATGATCCCTACATTTCTCTTTGTCCTCACTATACATTTTCATATCCGAAAACCAATATAAGAAATTAAGATATATTATTTAAAAAAATATATAAAAAAACTGACGCATGTAAGACTGGAAAAGGGTCAGTTTTGGTGATAAATGTTTTTGATTATAAGCCTACATTGGCAACATTTGGTAGGTTTACTTACCAATGGCATACCATTGTTAGCAATATTTACGGACAATTTATGCCATTGACAGAATAATTTGAAGACAATAGTGTGCTATTGCAGTTTTGGCAAGTCATACAACACATTTATAAACTTTACAAAAATGTTGAATTGCAAATAAACAAATATGTTTTGTTAATAAAATTTATTAAAAACAATACAAATTACAAAAGGAATAAACTAAGATTAAGATCAGTCGGCTGTGGTGCCACTTGTACGGTGGTACCATTGGTTCACCTTTAGTACCAATGTTTTATTTTATTGGCAATAACAGAAATCGTTTGACGAAATCCATTCAGAGTAAATCGTCAACCAGTACAGTAGTAGCAATGGTAATGGTTTTTAGTATTTGAGCCGTGTCATGACAAAACCAACATAGTGGGTTTGCGACCAGCATTGATCCAGACCAGCCTACGTATCCGCGCAGTCTGATCAGAATTCATGCTGTTCACTATCAGTTTCTCTACTTGTAATAGGGTTTGTAAGCGAACAGCATGGATCCTGATCAGACTGCGCGGATGCACAGGCTGGTCTTGATCCATGCTGGTCGGAAACGCACTATGCCTAGGTCACAAATAAAACGGGCGCCGTCCGATTAAACGATTTTTATAAAATCGGCAGATTTTTTGATGTCGTGGACGCCGGGCGATTTTAAATCTGATACCTTGCGTGGTCACGAATGAAACAGTCGTCGGGCGATTTTTGCCGAGTGGATTTTACAGAAAGAATTGAACGAATCAGGCGGTCGCCGCCCGATGTCCGTACGGCGCCCGTGCGATTTAAAAGTGAATCGGACGGTTGCCGCGCGGGCTCCGGGCGACAATGACTTTACTTTTAATGACATTCAGATAAATCAGCCAGTTGTAATTATGCCAGCAAAGAAGTCAGCTGCCAAACCCAAGGGGAAGGCCAAGGAGTTGGTCCGTGTTGTTGACAACGAGTCACCAACAGGCCAGTATCGAGGCCGTAGAAGGCGAAAATCAATCAGACATTCGCATGGACATTGAAGAAAAAATTCATGTTTACTAGTATTCAAAAGAAATTCACAAATATATTTTTGAGACAATTACAACTTCTTCAAGCTGAAATTACAACAAACACAAGCAGCCCGGTCGCCGGATGACAAAACGATGACCGCCCGGTGCCTGTACATGAATAGTCCGGGTACCGGGCGATAATCGTTTGACTACTTAGCTCTATTCAGGCACCGGGCGGGGCCCGGCCGATGTCCGCCCGGACGCCTTTTAAATCGGACGCTGTTTTAGTAGAACAAAAAATCGCCCAGCGACCGAACGATGTCCGCTCGATGATATACTCAGTGACCCCAAAAATTATCGTCCGGCCGCCGTTAGCTTTTAAGTATTACTTAAAACTCGAAGGTGCCCGCCCGATGAGCAAAATTTTCAGCTGCTGTCGTCCGATAGTCACTGCCGCCGGACGGACGCCGGCCGATATTGCGATTTTTTGGAGAAACAGACGCCGCCCGGCGGCATTTTCTTATTTGTGACCTAGGCTATGTTGGTTTTGTTGTGACGCGGCTCATTTGATACCATTGGTAAAACTCTGAATGCACCACGTATAGACAAATTAAACCTTGCATCATAAAATTTTGGATTTGGGGATTATTTAAGTATCAACTTATATATACTATTCAGATGTCACACTTAAATAGTAATAAATCATAGAAGGTGGTCATTTTTATCAAATATGAATATACTTGAAATATCAAAATGAGTACATGTCTTATACAATCAATAACCCCAAAAAATGAAGCAGAAAAGCAATGAGAAAAGTTACACTTTAGATAGCCTTCAAGGCAACTTTACTTCCTCAGTTATTGACCAATCAGCTATTCAAAGTTGCGCATGAAATATCAACTGCACTCCCATGACGTATTCTGTGACAGGGTACGTTAGACCTACTCTCAAAAAAGAAGTTTTCAAAAAATTTATATTTTATATGTGAAAAGCCAATAAGGTTTAGTTGAAACATATTTATTTTTATCACATAAACACAATAGAGGATATTTGTTTAGTTCAGTGTAAGATCGGAATATATTTCACCGAGTGAGCACCAAAAGGAATATTTCACGAGTGGCGCAGCCACGAGTGAAATATGAACTTTTGGTGTTCACAAGGTGAAATCTATTTCAATCTTACACTAAACTAAACAAATTTTCTTTTTATTACATGCAAAGAAACGTTTTAAAAAGACATTTAACCTAATACTGAATGAAAAGCGCGCCAAATAATAATACAACGTGACGTCATTTACGACGTCACGTCATTAAGTTGGTACCCAGTACTGTGCACGCTGGTATTTCACTGAAACAACGTAAGGGGCTTAAATTCAAAACAGTGAAATTATCAAAGTGGTAATTTCACTGTTTCAAACAGTGAAATTACCAGTTTTATATCACTGATATATTTCTATAAACCACCGAAAAGCATGTAATAAATAGAGGATATTCAAGTTTTTTCTATAAATACATGATTTATTTTCATCGAGTGGTATGAAAATAAATATTTCATGAGTGGCGGTAGCCACGAGTGAAATATGGTAATTTTCATGGCACAAGATGAAAATAAATCATGTATTTATAGAAAAAACTTGAATTTTCTGTTTATTATGTACATTTTTCTCTTTTTTGCAATAAAATTTGAAAAACTTTCCCTTAAATTTTGTGTACTGGTAGAATTTAAAAGAAAGTAGTCCGGCAAGACACCAGTGAAAATACGGAAAATATGTTTCACTGCAGTGAAAAATAAATTTTTACAGTGAAAATACGGAAAATGAAAATACGCATTTTATTTCATCAATATTTCTCAATATTTCATTTATAAGTATATAATAAAGCCATTTAATAAAAACGATATTACACTAGTGTAATAACACTTTGACGTGACGTCATTTGCGCTATATGGAAACATACCGTTAAAGCGCGCTAATGTTAGCGTTACACTATGGGCGCGTCATTGAAAAATTACACATTTTAACAGTTTACTGTATGTGATAAATAGAATATTATATTCGTGTAGATTCAATACTAAATTTATTGAACTCGTTGAATAAAACAATATTATGCTCGCCAGAGGCTCGCATAATATGATTTTATTCAACTCGTTTAATAAATTTAGTACTAAACTACACTCATTCAATTGCACAAAGTCTTGCAACTTATATTAATCACTTTTGGGTCCGCTTCCTTGAACAAACCAGTATTGGTGTCATATTAAAAAACATGTCCCAAGTAGTGCTCGAACCAATGATTTGAGGGTTGAGAGGCAGACACCTTATATTAAAAGTTAACCATTAGGCCATCGCTCTCAAATTAGAGTTTAAATGTGATTTGAACAAGCACAATATCTTGGAGAAAGAAAACTAACATCGTTATCATATTCACGAATTTGTTCTCGAAATAACCTTGAATACATATGCATTTTTCAACAAGACAAATACAAACGCACGTTCCCTTTCCCACCATAAATTCACTCTTATCTGATTAGTTAACAAAACATAGTGCATAAGTTTCTCAAAGTTCTTACACAAATATATGTGACATAAAACATAACACATGTCTTGTGCAAGTTGTGCAAGTTACTGTGATTTTATTATTATTATTGTTGTTGTTGTTGTTGTTGTTCTTTTAAATTCTTTAGTCTTAAAGGTTGCGATACACATTTTTCAAATATGTCGTGAATCTCTCTACACTGTTGAAGATGTTTTCTTTTTTCTTCTGAAATTTCGGATATTTCAAGAGAAGCTATGGTATTGTTAACACACTTACTACTTATCTTACAATTTCAGAACATTAGAGCAAATTTACAGTCATAATGCAAGTACTTTAATTGTCCTATTTAAACTTGTCTCAGATTTCGATAAAGCAAACTGTTTGAAATGGATCAAAGTGCTGAAAGCACTACACAAAACAACCTTAACTCGTAAAAAATGCAATGTGACAAGTGCTCATATACATTTGGTATCTTGTAAATCTAAGCAGTAATATAGCTTCAATGTCATGAGAAAGTATAAATGTTGTAAAGATAGGTCGGAAATTTTTATAAATATCATTTTATTTGCACATTTAAACTTTCAATCGAAATTTTGTTTAAAATGTATATCTAAAAGCACATTATTGAAGTCTCAGAAATGAATACATTTGTATTGCTATCTTCTTTTTAATGGGCAAACATGTGTATGATAATGTTTACATAGTGTATTCAAAGCATATTATATATTCTCACTAAAATTTCGAAGCGCTGTGTGAAATACATATAATTTGTCATAAATGTAGAACAGAATATTTATTTTGACTTAAGCATATACAGCTTATCATCAATCATGAAAATATGATACATGTACATTCAATCGCATGCAAATGAAAATGGCAAAACAAGTTGTCAGTTGCATAGAAGGAAGATAATATACAATGTAATCAGTAAGCATACTGATCTACTAAATCAAATTAGCAAATATATATTACACACAGGCCAACATTTGATATTATTAAACTTCAAGATTAATGTGATTGTTTCTTAATTTCAGAGCTTTTGAAATAAATATTGACAGTCTACACAATATGTTGAGATTATTACAGTCTAACAGTTCAATAAACTTAAACATGTTAGGACGATTTCTGAAATAGTACGGAATATATAATTTTCTTAAGTCCTTATACACACAAAATGAAATTCGTCTTCAATATCGTCTTTGGTACATATAACACACTTTTGTTCACTTCTTAACTGGTTTCTATGGCGACCCTGCTCTATGGCTAAACAGTGCGATGAAAGTCTAAATTTAGCTAAGACATTTCTGAACTTGTCATTATGTCATAAATGTAGCTAACGCAGACTTATATTTTGACACCCATATAAATAATTAATAAAGGCACAGTGTGCCACAGAAACAAACTAACTTTTGTTTCCTTCTTTAGAAAGGGCAAACAAGAGTTATTACATTAGAATAATGGTTTAAGAGCATTTCAGATGCTGATTGCCTGCAGAATGTAAAATTATTTGTCATAAAAGTAGCAAAATGTAACGAAGAACATGTATTATTTTGACTTCCATGCAAAAAATAAATCACTATAATGGTAATAATTGTCAGAAAGCAATAGAAGCAAAAGATGGTTCAGAAATATGGTCAATGAGTACTTTTTTGGAAAATATAACATGATAAAGCTCTTTAGAAGTGAAAATAATTGCATTTCTGAGCTATAATGGGCTTTTACTATAATTATAATAATGACCAAAATAAGATGAGTAGTATGGATCAACTTATTCAGCTTAACACATTACCAAAAGGCCCGGACAAATATCAAGCACATATTCTAGAATATTATCTTACTAAACTTAAAATATGTCTACAATGTTTGAATTTTAAAAAGGAGGAAACAGGAATTTGGGGAATGGGTGGAAGTGAGCTATTTCTATCGTTTAACAGTGGTATTTGAAGAAAGAGATCCTGTTAATAATAATTAGCTGGTAGAAATGATCAAGAGAAAATGTTTTAAGGGTTTTGTTATCGAGACAAAAGAACATATCATAGCAATAAAAAAATCTCAAGTAACATATCCTTTCAGCAGCTGTAACGTAATAAAACGTATTCGCGAAGGTGGCACTTTTGGGCTTCCGTAGATTCCATATTAATTCCTCAAATTTGGATTAGGCTCCAACATTGAAACATATGCATGGCATAATACAGGATGTCACGTGATCAAGGTCAAGGACGAATTTCGAACACCGCTATTTCCATTTAAAGACGTGTTTGCGTGCGAATTTGACAAAATTGGAAATTTGAATTCTACCGCCAACACATGTTTCTCACTAGGTGCGTGTCACGTGACTTTTCCTGCCAAAATGGTATATTTTTCGAACAGATAAATGGTCAAGGTGGGGAACAAACACAAAGTTAACCATGTAGGAGAAAGCTGCACTGCGTTTATACTTCCGATTTCTTTTTTTTTCTTTCTTTTTTTTTTTTTTTAAGTTAACCGCGCATACATCACCATAACAGCCTGCGCATGTCGTCACGTCCTGAAATCGCGTGCTCTGACGCGCGCTTTTATGTCACACACCACTAAATCAGAATGTCATAGGGTTGAAACATCGCCAGTAACTGCCTATACGGACTGAGAGGCGACACTTTGAGGTAGGGGGTCTCTATGAAAATGCTTGAAAAGGTGGTGGCCGCCGAAAGGATATAGCATAAAATATCGAGAGTTTCTTTCTCGCGATATTTTATATTTTACCACAAAGATGTTAAAGGCAAAAACATTCATTTACCAGTAAAATCATCGCATTCAGTGCTTTCAGTGCTTTGATCTAATTTCTACTATTTTCTATCGGATCGGTACAAGTTTTACGCTCAAACATCGAATTCCATGACAAGTTTCTAAAGGAACCTTAAATGTTAAATTACATGCACCATAACCGAAAATACCTTTTAATTTACTCTTCATTGTTTGAAAAGTTTTCTAATTTATTTATGCCAATAAGCTTCATACCACCATAACATTAACGTTCTATTTCGAATGAGGCAAACAAATTAATCTACCCTGTACATGTTTTCTTCTGAATAAATAATATCTTTTACAGCAGTTATAAAATACTCATTATTTATATTTAACAATTGAATACAGGTCTTTTAGATTTATTTTAAACCTAGCGTTAATCTAATGACTAATCTTAATGGAATCTTGTTTGAATTTGTGCAGGTCATCTCCGGACACTTGAATCAGGTAAAATCGATTAAGCTGCATATACATTTTAGAAGATGTTATTTTTCTGTAGTAAGTACCCGTGTACTTAATCTGTTTATACTGTATGCTTTCTTTAACAAGATAATGCATTTTTATCACCGATAAATATAATTATTCTTTTAGTTTCCTACCCATGGTATTTAAATGTAAATGTTAACAAAATATGATTTCCATCTTTTATCCATCGCCATTCTACAGTTCTATAACCACGCAGATATAGTACATGTAGAAATTATAGGCCTATATACATGCAGGCCTGAAATACAATAGGAGAATGGTGCCGAAGTTTATTTTTTTCGTCTGCTGAAACAGTGAAGAAATGATGAAATATAAATACCTTATTAAATAATGCTATATGTCCTTTAATCTCTGGCACCAAATTTTCAATGTTTTTAACACACGTGATATTGACAAAACACTCCGTTTTCTTTGACCTTTATTATCGGCGCGGCTTATGTAATAAAATCACCTTGAGTTGTCTATCTTTCGTCGCGATATTAAAATATAAAACTTCATGAATATTAAACTTGTTTACTTATGTATGTGTATAGTTTGATTTCACATATCCTACTGAATTCAAATAAAGAGATTTTTTTTTTATTGATATGATGCATTTTTACCAATCATAATGTCTACCGAATGACAGAAAGCGGCGGCCATAATAACAAATAAATATTAAATAAATATTCTATACGTAATAGCTACGTGCATCCGGGAGCATAATTTTATACATGTATGTGTTTATATGTACTTGAATGCAGGGTTAATTTAGTGTAAATCAGGAAAACGCATGTTGAAAATATATACATGTACATGCATGTATAACCAGTTCATAGTGATAACTTTATAATCCTAGATATTCATGTTTACATATCTATTTGTTGGATATTAATTAGCAAGTATTTTTCTATAAAATAAAGTTTGTGCTTGATTACCAAAAAAATAATATACAACTCAAAATTTGCTAAAGCTACAGTCTCACTTACATCCCGGCAGAGCCCCGGCAGAGCCACGGTAGACGTCCGGGGTGATCCGGGAACGACCGGGGTACGACCGGGAACAACCGGGGTACATCCGTAACTCTGCCGGCAACGTCCTGGATGATCCGGGATGATCCGGGAACATCCGGCATTCGACCCCGGATGGAATAAAATATTTAATATCACCGGGGTGGTCCGGGATGATCCGGGAAGGTATAGCTTTGCCGGCTTCATCCTTAGCTCTGCCGGGAACGACCGGGGTTATACCGGGAAAGCAACGTAGCTCTGCCGGCACAAACCGGGGATGACCCTGGGTATGATATAGCCGGTAGAGCTACGGTAGAGCTACGGTAGAGCCCCGGTATATGCCGGCAGAGCCCCGGTAACTACAGGCAGAGCCCCGGAGGATAAAGGTAGAGCTACGGTTGATCCCGGTAGAGCCCCGGTAGAGCCCCGGCAAAGCCCGGATCATTTAAAAAGAATAAGGACAATTTGCGATGATTGAACTTTTTTTGTATTAAAAGCCTTCTATCCAGTATGGCATAAGGATTTTTCAGAAAAATCATCATGAATTACTATTCTGGAACAATAGATATTGTATTAAATAAAAATTATGTATCAAAGTTATCATTTTTCGGGCATTTTCAATCCACCGGGGTTCTACCGGGGCTCTGCCTGGGATGGTCCTGGGCTCTGCCGGGGCTCTGCCTGGATCGACCGGGGCTCTGCCTGGGTCAACCGGGGCTCTTCCGGCGTCATCCGGGAACGACCGGGGAAGCACCGGCATGAACCGTAACTTCACCTGGGCTCTGCCTGGATGATCCGGAGCGCATCCTGGGTGGTTAGTAGGGAACTACCGTAGTGCTGCCGGGGTAAGTGTGACTGCAACAATAATTTCATCCCGGATCGTCCCGGATCATCCCGGTAACTTACCGGGATGATCCTGGGCTCTGCCGGGAGTATGTGAGACCGAGGCTTAAGGATCCCCTTTTTGACATTACATATATCATCATATTAAAATGATATTTCTGCTAACGATACACCTGTAAATCGTGTACTTAAGTGTACACCTTGCACGATTAGCACGTGGAAGAGCATACCCATGGAAATTTGTTGTTTTATGGCCATGTGCTTTCATTTAAACGTGAACAAGTAGTTTTATTGTAAAACTGTGTTCGAAATTAACAAACTATGGCAAATCGACAGGTTAAACGTCGTCCATTTGAAGATGAGATGAACTTTGGAGGCTGGCCGTTCACAAAGGCACGTTACCCATGTCCTTGGGGTATCCCAGAGCGGGGTCTCCAGGATGAGGAACCGATTCCAAATGACAGGAAACGTCGATCTTGCAGGGCCACGCCGGAGGTCGGGGACGTTCAACGACTCAAGCCCAGGACCGATTTATTGTCCTTCAGGCCAGGCGCCAACGGTTCTCGAACGCTATGACCTTACGTAACGACTTCCAGAATGCAACTGGTGTGCGTGTAAGAACACAAACTGTTAGAAACAGGTTGCATGATGCTAGGTTGAGGTCAAGCAGGCCAGCAATTTGCATTCCTTTGACACAACGCTATATTCAAGAGCGTTTGCAATTAGCGCAGACCCATGTCACATGGATAATTAATGATTGGACCCCAGTCGTCAAGGTCTTGTGTGGACTTCACGGACTGACGGGCTAGGGTTTGGAGAAGTCCAAATGAACGATTAGCTTCAGTATGCGTTGCAGAACACGACAGTTTTGGCGGGGGTTCAGTCATGGTGTGGGCGGGAATAAGCGCTCAGGGGAAAACTGACCTACACATCATTGAAAACGGTACACTGACGGCAGTAAGGTATGTCAATGAAATCTTAGACGTCCATGTACGCACGTAAGCTGGCGCAGTCGGGCCTGATTTCATTCTTATAGATGACAAAGCCCGTGCACACAGAGCCCACATCACAAACCGATATCTTGAGGAGGCACCTATAGTCTGCATGGATTGGCCACCGAGGTCCCCGCATTTAAATCCAATTGAGCATGCTTTGAATATGCTGCAGAAAGCCATTTCTTCACGCCACATCCAACCAACAACAGTCCAGGAGCTAAGGCATGCAATAATAGAGGAATGGGCCCAGTTTTCTCATCACAATGTCCGCAGGCTCATCAGCAGCATGCGGCGGCGATGCCAGGCCGTTATTAATGCCCGCGGACACTATACTCAATATTTTAAACCCTACTCCAACTATTTCCTGATTTGCAAGATTTTTTTCCATTATGTGATCTCCAAAATGTTGATTTTCGTCCAGCACACTCTTTCCGCAACAGGCACACGTCAAGGAACACTTCCATTGTAATTATTTTTATAAAAATCAAATCCCAACTAATTATATTTAAATTCAATCTGGAAACAGTTAATTAATAATTATCTACTACACAAACTTTTCTATCTCTAACGTTTCGAGGGGTTAAACCCCTCTTTTTTCAATGAGTTTCTGTTTATTTTTATATAAATCACATAAATCACATTTGCGTAATTTTATTGTTAAGATAAGACATGTAAGAAGATAAATATGTGATTTATATAAAAATAAACAGAAACTCCTTGAAAAAGAGGGGTTTAACCCCTCGAAACGTTGGAGATAGAAAAGTTTGTGTAATTATATTTAATTCCTTTATATCAATTTTCAAATTTATCACAAATACACAAAAGTAAAGTAGATTCTACTGTAGAAAAAGTGAACCTTAGCAAACTTTGGGTAGTATATAATTATAGTAGAAACTAATTGATGTATATCCAATATGTTTCTTTTTTCATGATAATCTATTACATTTCTCACAGACTTTTAAAAAAAAAGAGCATTGGGCCATTCATTAATTAAATTTGTTCATTGATTGATTGATTGATTGATTGATTAATTGATTGATTTCTTGTAATTAATATCAAGTGCTCTCATTTCAAAGTTGCGTGTACATGCAGCTATAACATAGGTTTTTAGTCATGATTGGTCTAGAAACTATGAATTGTTTATTTTTCATATTTATGAACAATTTGTGAACAAATATCATGAGTAAATGTACATTTAAACACAATAACACCTGTAAAACTTTAAATACTGAAATAAAAACAAAAATATTTAATAATTGTGTTCATAAATATATTTCATAAATAAGAATGTAAACAAGAAAAGTATACAAACAAACAAAATAATATGTAAACTTCTACTGGAAAAAAGGACTGTCTAAAACCTGAATGTCTTCATATTGAGGCTATTTTAACATACAATAATAGAAATGTATATGCCACGCCATGTACACTTTAACATATCAGAGCTGAAAACACTCAAGCCGTGGACCTTTTACCTTTTTCTAACACATTGGCTTAACAAATATGTCAGCTTTTGTAGTATAATTCTAAAACAAAATTACATTACTCCACGAGATTTCATACTCTATTTAAAAGGCGTCACCCTGGTCCTTTTCAGCCATATAGCAAATGTAAAATGATGTTATTTGACATGCTGTTATTTCAAATTGGTGATGACATCGTCAATTAAACAAATTAACGTCATAAAAATAAACAAAATTATTGAATACATTGTATCTCTAAATTTAGAAAGACTAATTCTTCACTCCCAAATTATTCCGCCCACGGGTACACATACGCACACACGTACAAACAGACGCGCGTACATACATACACGCACACGCGCAATACTTTAAAAAATATATATCACAAATGCACCGAGGATAGGTTACGCACAAACATAATTGAATATCACAAAGGAAAAACATTTATGGTTGTTAATTCACCATAGTGATAGGAAATTAACAATTAAAAACTGCATTGTTAATACAAAATATATCCTGAAAAACAATTCATTGAGTATTCATAAACCAACTGCTTCATAAATTTTCAGATTAAAGACACATTATGCCCCATAAAAGCTTTTATTTTCAGTTTTCAAAAGCTTTTTATTGTTCGTGTCCTGTTATACTTTCAAAAAACACACTCATTGATCAAATACCTGAACTATCTAATGCTTCTGTTGCATTTTGTCAAGGAGTAAAGATATACAAGTGATTGAATATCATCAAACTACTTCCTTGTTTACATTTTGCTACTTTTAAGACAAATGATTCTACGTCCAGCTCTACTCTTTTTTTCAGGTGATAAGCATCTTTCATGCTCTAAAACCATTATCTAAATGTTATAAAACTCATGTGTGCCCTACCTAAATAAGGAAAAAGTTATTCGGGTGTAAGGCATATTGTACCCTTAAAACAAAACCTCAACAAAAAAGTAAATTAATGATCCATATAAAGATAAACGAGTATTAATCCTTCTGTTTCAAAATGAACACAAATATGGTTTAAATGAAATACATGAGTAGTAATTATCAAAAGTTTTAAAGTGAATATCATTTAAAGAATCGTAGATCATCGGCGAAGATTTTATAATCGGCGAAGATTTGATGATCGGCGAAGATTTGATGATCGGCGAAGATTGGAATCATTTGATGATCGGCGAAGATTTGATGATCGGCGAAGATTTGATGATCGGCGAAGATTTGATGATCGGCGAAGATTTGATGATCGGCAAAGATTGGAATCATTTGAAGATCGGCGAAGATTTGATGATCGGCGAAGATTTGATGGACGGCGAAGACTCATAATCACACCTTGTATCGATGTTTAAGCTCTTCCGGTGCCCTCTGACGCCATTCTGTCCATGAACCCTGAATGAAAACGTTCAAATATGTTTGTCAAAATCCAAAAATTCAATTAGTGATACAAACTTAAACTTTGGATACAAACTTAAACTTTATAAAACGGAAGTGTCATAGATTCAAATACAGAATTGGTATTTAAAAAATACGAGTGTTCATCCTATTACTAAAACAAATAAGGCTTAAGAAAGTAAACAAGAATTGCACTCAAATCAATTTAAAACTATGCGTCCATAGCTTACAATTTTGTCAGTATAAGGAGGGACAATGTGACAGCAGGACAGAACAGAATAGCTAGAATGCGGGACGGATAAACAAAGGCAAATCTATATACATCCCCCTACCCTTAAAAATGTGGGCGGGGTTCGGGGGAGTGTTAAAACAAAAGAATATGTTTTACGTACGGGTAAAATAAATATAGAAATTTAAATTGTAATTACATAATATATTGGAATATCTTTTCCCAGGGTATAAGCGGCCGCAGCAATACCACAAGCTGTCATACCAGTAAAACACGAGGCAACCATTGGCGCGTCGAAATTCACACCCGCACTGTCAAACACTGAAGGAAACAGAAACAAAAGTATACAGATTATATCACAATTGCTTATACATGTACATGAGTATAAGTTCAGTACTGAATTTATTGAAAGAGTTTTGAACGATTCTGTTTATCAAACATCTAAAAAAAGAACCATTTTTCAATTAAAATAACTACATGTATTTATTCATTTATAACGCAAGTGACCTCATGCCAAAAATAAAGCCGTGCAATACCATTTTTACGGAGTCACAAAGCCGTGCAATACCACTTTTACGGAGTCACAAAAGCGACAAGGATACGCGATAAAAATTAATTCATATTACAATTGTTATATTAATAGAATCTCAATGCATTCACCTGAATAAGAGGAAGAAATAAATACCTCATGCTAGCACTAGTTACTTTTATACCTTTCTCACTAAATTTACCATATTAAAGAAACTTATTCGAATAGAAGTACAGAAAAACTGTTAACTTATTCAGCAAAGTCATTAAACACTTACTTGTTTTTATTTCAGTTTCAGATTTAAATGTCCCGTCACTATTAAAGAGGTCTTCAAATGGAATGTGCTTTGCCCCCGGTATCACTCCTCCATCCAACTCTTCTTAAATCAAACAAAAAGTGCATAGTTCTTACTCAAGCTAATGTTTGAAAGTACATGTAAAACCAAAGAAGGCAAAAAACGAAACACATGTTGATAAGGATCCATTTTCAAATCAAGTATGCACATTAAATAGTTTCAGTTCAATTTGAAAGAACGCTCATGTCTCAAGGTCAATGTTTCAAATCCCAGAACTACATTTAAGTTAATAAGATTGAGATGCCAATTGCTCTGCTATAAGCAGGACTGTACTCTCAAGTTATGTCCTATAAAATGTGACTATATACTGTAACGGGCAGCTGCTGTGCCTATAACAATGACATTTTTACATGTATTTCTTTTATAAGATGAACCTATCTTGGATATGAACTATAAAGAAATCATAACTGTTTTAAAGATGTAATATTATGTTGTTTAACTACAAAAGAAAATTGACATTATTGTTTCTTGGAGAATATTCTTGAATTTAATCTTACTATTAATAACTGTATTATCGTCCTTGGAGCGTGCGTCCAGCACTTGCTCTTTCTTTGTTTCTGTGTTCCGAACCATGTCATCGTAAGAACGTATTAGAGATTTATCCAGCGAGGCTTCGAACTCTGAAGGCTATGGGAAAAAGGTACTCATTTATTGAATTAAAAAGGCATTTAAAAATATTAAGTATTAGTTCTTATTAATAAGGAAAATTAATTTGATTCCTTTCCCCAGAAATTTTTATGAATTATTATTACATTAATAAGCTTAAATACAGTATTTCGTTCACTTCGATTTTCCAGACAGCCGAAAGATTATTCGAGCTCACTCTCAAATCCGCCTCCTGGAACTCACCAGTATTGGTATCATCTGAGGAATTATAGTCGTGACTCAAGTAAGACTCGAACCCACGACCCCTGAGTGGAGACCCAGACACGTTTACCACTTAGCCGCCGCTCCATTTTAGAACACTTTTTTGTTTATTCTGATATAAGACCAACAAAACACTCAAAATATTTAAGAAATGCTAGAGGTATTAAAGCTATAGGACAAAATCGTGATGACTACTTAAATTATATATAAGTATTGCAGATATATGACAAACTCTGGTACCTCAACTGTTACCAAATCTTGAGTGGTCTCAAAACCGTCTGCAATCCACTTCCGTAGCCCTCCGTCCAGCACTGAAACTTTTTTGTGACCATACAGCTGAAATAATAATCGATGAAATTATTACTTATCGATGTTCCTAAACGACAGTGTCTTTTCTTTGGCTTTATAAGTGTTACTTTATAAACTTTCATGTGCATACAATAGATATTTTACAAGTGTGACATGACCTATCAATAATTATTGAAAAAAAAACTTGTTCTGCACTCCAGTATTCCAATCATCTTGGCTATTCTATAAAAACGACTTACCCTAAACAACCACCATGCACGGAAGGCAGGTGTGGGTCCGAACCTATCGTAGGCCACAATATGTGTGTCAGGATGAATCCCTAATGTCTGCACATATTGTGAAAAACATTTCGGGTCTGGCAAGTTTCGTGGAAGCTCTGGTGTGCTTTCTACACAGTTGTGCAATCCAAAATATACAGATTGGGGTATATGCTCCCTGGAAAATGATAAAATAAATCAAATTAAACATAAGACATGGAAGAGAATTTCTCTTTTAAAGTGTCCCTATTTTAAATCACAAACCGTTACTTGCAGAGCTGTCTCCCTTCGTCTATCTGTTTATGTGATGAAAACAGTACAATTTCAAAGCCAAGTAACCTTCCGTGATCATTATATTGGCATCACTCTTTAAAAATCTACTTGTTAGAAATATTTCAAAGGGATTCCATTTAGATGTATTTACATATAATTCTAATATTCTTATGTTAACGTTTAACCTGGCGCTTACCGTAGCATGTTCATATTATGTTCAAGGTATAACTAGTATTGTTGTAAAAAGTATGAACTGTTTACAACATTGTAATTAGATTAAAGGCTGTACATGTATGTAACATCAGAAAGATATGCATTTCTAGTCTGTTGAAAACATCTTAATTTTAGAAAATACATAAAAATAAACAGAATACCCGAAGCATAACGGTATAAACACACTTACTGTAGATAGCATGTACTGTATGTATCAACTTCTTTGTTCTTCAGGAAAGATGTGTCGAGAACTCGTAGTTTCTTGGATATCTGATTTTTGGCATTATTGCCTAACTGTTCTCGAAGCCAGTTTGTTGAAACAACTAATGCAGTTCTAGAGATAGTCATGCCCTTCTGCTATTTCTTAAATAAATCAATTTAATTAATATTAAATTGAAAACAGTGAAATAAATCTAAATTGAAATTTAGGTCATGAACGTTATCAACGTAACGCGTGACGTCAAATTCCCGCCAAACTATAAAACGTACACGTGAATGAAAACACGTTGTAAATCGATCGTCTTAGAATTTCAGTCATGCCCATTTTCTTGTGTGATGAATAGGCGTGGCAACTATAAAACGCAGCAAATAATAATAATGTAATAATTAAGACTTTATTTAACAAGAAAACTCATTTGAACAACATATCAATCTTCCATGAGGCCCTCAACAAGGAACAATATATAACTTTAATATATTCAAACAAGGAACAATATAAATTTAACATATTCAAACTATTGAAATACATACATGTAACATACATGAGATTTATAGGTAAATATCAGCAAAGCGATGTGAATTTTCTAGAAATATTTCATTCGGTAATACGTAAGATCTATTCAGTTCTAATACAATATAATTATTAATTTTCTCTAAAATTACTGTAATCTATATTTACCAAAATGGAAAATGGACTATTAAAAGAATATTTTTTTAGTTCGAAACAAAATAAAACATCTCAGTATTGAACATTGTACACAAAATCAAATTGACATAGTGTTTGATTGCAGTATAGTATTTCAAATGAAATTCGCGCCGTTCTTGGCCAATTTAAAGTAGTAAATGCTTACTACTAAACACTGACCTATACTTATTGAGTGTAATTACCGTTGTTCACAAAGATACAACATGTACATTGACATTACCATAACGGAGTAAGTATTCTCGATGTAATAGTAAATATAAATACTATATATTATATTATACAACAAACTGAACGCTGGAAAAAGAAACAATAATACCTTTAAACGTCCACTCGACCTCTGCCACCTTTTTCTATGCCTGTAATATTGTGTTATGTTATAGTTCACTACGCTGTACAGATCTAAATCCGATAATTAACTAACCATACGACACGCACTACTTCATTAAAGTTAGGTTTATAAAATTGTAAAATAAAACTACACTAGTAAAATATATTTTCTTTTCAGACTTTTTCAACACTATACGGGTACTGTAAATGTTTTAAAATCTGTGACTGACGTCAATAAATACTGGAATAAGGCTCGGTAAACGTGACTTTATGGTGAGCGCATTTCATCATACCGAACGTGACTACGAGAAGGTTATTTTTATTGCGGTTGTTTCCCTTGACATAATTTGAATAGTAAGGCTGGAGAAGTTGTCTCCCTTCGTTTGGGTCTCCAACAGAACAAAGATTTCAGTTGTAAAAAATACTTTTTCAAAATTGTGGAGAAGAAAACAACCTATGTCTTTAGCAAAAGTACAAACACTTAACCTTAACTGGTTATATATGTATATTTATTTGTGGTGATTCGTCAAATATGATTAAATTGCAATATCAATATAATATACATCTAGCGTTTTGCAGCATATTGGTTGATCTTAATCCGTCAGCGTATCAGCTTAAGCAATAACCTTTAAAACTTACGTTTTGCATTAAAAAGGTGGGTCTTAAATAGACAAACTCTGGCGCGTAATTGCATCAAAAGCACTTTTTAAATTTTGGATTAACAGTATATCGAGGCACAAGACACTTCACAAAGTGAATCAAGAAATAAATATCGCATTGAATTAAATGTAGATCTAAAAAAAAGAGCAATATCGTCGTTGGCTTTCAAAATAATATTGAACGATGACGTCATATCGACTGAAAGAACCTGAAAATTCTTTTCATTGAGTTCATTTTTTATTCTTCCATAAACAGTACCATCCAACAATACTTTTAAATCCGCTTGTGAAATTGTTACAGATATATTAACAATTTAGCTCCATGCATATACAAAGTATACACCCCTTGTATAAAACAGGAGAAGGAACCTAAACAGTGCATGTCTCTGACATGATGTAAATATCCAACCTAGGTCTCATTACAAATATACAAATGAGCCGCGTCACGACAAAACCAACATAATGGGTTTGCGACCAGCATGGATCCAGACCAGCCTGCGCATCCGCACAGTCTGATCACGATCCATGCTGTTCGCTATCAGTTTCTCTACTTGTTATACAGGCTGGTCTAGATCCATGCCGGTCGCAAACCCATTATGTTGGTTTTGTCATGACGCGGCTCAAATGTGCTTTAAACTTATATAGCTTAATATCACAGAGCTATATTTAATATGTCTCTAGTAATATACAAAAGAAAGATATATTAACAAAGCTGGCTAATTTTTGCACTGTAAGTGTAATTTGCGATTCTTTAGCTACATCAGTATATGGATGACCGTGTCCGTATTTAAAAGATATAAATACATGTATAACCAGCATCCCTGGCAAAGTTCAATTCAATTGATTTTCATCTGGCATAATCATATATATTGGCATCATGTATTCAATTCCAGCAATGATGATATATTAACACATTAATCACTATGTCACCAAAGCTCCAATGGGCCAAATTGTTATGTTCATAGGCAGAAAATTGTCATAACCTTATCAATGTGAAAGTGGGGCAATTATATTTCATACATGTGAAACCATCCACCAACGACTTTCAGGATATTTATTCAATGGCATCATAGACACATGGATTCATGTCACTGACCATTTAGCAATAGGGCTCGCAAGAAGGTATCAATTATGGTTTCATGTTAAGACTTCGGGGTGGGTGGAGGGGAGATAATAATAGAAAAAACAAGACACTTATAGTGGACAGAAAAACATTTTTATTGACAAGAAAAAAAACGCTTAATAGTGACATGTGAAAGGCCTTATACAATAAGCTATCTAAAGTTAAATGAACACACAAGAGGAGAATAGCTACATAGTTGTAATATACATGTTAACATAGCTTCCTATATCTGAACAATTGTCTAGATCATAATTATAACAATATTGCTGTCAATATTTATATCTTTAAACTGTGCTAATATAATAAAAACGTTCCTTAATTCTGGCAAAGGTTTTGCTAATAGAAGCTGAGGGTCAGGAAAATTGTTGTGCTTGTAGTATAATTATGGAATAAAATTGTCATGAAAATAAAACAGTGTATCAGTTAATTGCAAAATTTACTTTTATCTAGTTTCAACAATAATTCAAATGACATACATAAAAATCTGCTATTTTAAGAATTTCATAAAAAAAAACAAAAAAAAAAACATGAATTTTTGATAAAGAAATGTGAAATGATGTGAACAATTGAACAAATTTATAATGAACCATACAACTTTTTGTCATTTCTCAGTCAACAATATGACCTTATAAATGAACTTAATAAACAATCTCAAACTGTGAAACTGTTTTAAACTTCCCCATTTTGTGAAACTTTCTTAGTGTAATGCTAAACTATTTTGCCTTGTGATAACATGTTTATTTAATCTGGAGTTTCTAACGTTACCTTAAAAAAGTAAATCCCATTTTTTGTCACTACATAGTTTACATATAGTAGTTTATGTATGAATAGTAGATAGCGATATTATATAGTTTGAGTATATATACAACATAAGTACTTTGTATTATTATTATTATATATAAAAGATTTACTGATATACAGTTATTACAATATCCTATACAGACATCTGCTGTAGCATCTTGTCTCGCATACGCTTACAAAACAATGTTCCGCATACGTAACACTTGATGTCTGGCACACGTTAACAAAACAATGTTCGCAATACCGTTAACAAAATAATGTTCTGCATACGTAACACTTAAAGTCTTGCATACGTTTACAAAAAAAATGCTACGCATACGTAGACAAAAAAAAATGTTGCCTTATCAACTCTGGATAGACAATAAAATGAGACATTGTCATTGTTTTAATACCAGTGAAGGCAAATAAACTATATCAATACATTATATAATATACTAGAAAAAAATATCGGAATATAAAATGTCTAGACACAAGCTAAATTCAAGATAATAGACAACAATATATATTCAAAGCTTACATATCATTTACCACATATATATATGTAATATAATTCTTACCAAAAAAATATGACTGCGAAAAAAAATACATCATGAACTTACAATATGTGATGTCTAACTTAGATGTAACCATTTTAATGATGAAATAAAATATACTAATGTGAAATTCAAGAATATATTTCATTGTTCAAGTTCAAATTCAAAAGAACATCTTATCTCCACTACTTTCTAGTTTCTGAATATTAAGGCATATCATATATTAACAATTTGCCACAAATTTTAAGTAAAAGAATAAATATATTGTTTATAAAACATCATAGTTCATTCAGGATTATAATCTATTTTTTATATCTATTAAACAGTTTTGCATTTATTCCATCATTTTCAGCTCTACCGACAAATCCAATTTACAATCTTTAATAAATACAGATGTTTCTGACGGAGTATCTGCAGACAAAATAGTAATTCCCTCCAGAACTGTCTGTATTATTTGTGCAAATGATTATTTGAATATTCTGTGTTTAAGAATACTTAATAAATTTGTAAGAATAATATTTCAACCCCTTTACTTCTAAATTCCTGTGATGGAATTTAAATCTGCCTTGAAAAATTTTCAATTTCTATCTTCCTTGGTCAATCTATAAAAACCTGCCAACTATACAGTATAGTCTGGTCACGCGCTCAAGGACGTGCAGACTGACCTGGTTCGGATCTATACTGGTAGCATCGACAGAAATTCTCACCGCCATCAATCAGAACGGGGTTTTAAACTATGTTGTCATTATCCGGGACTGTACGCTATTGCAACAACATTATACATCACAACATTGCCTCAAAAACACAATGAGATCAGAAGAACAAGTTTGACACATACATGTACAAGATTTCACCTCTCCACACCAACTATAGCTGTAGAAAAAATTTTACACTGCATTTGTCAATGTGGTAATTCTGAAATTCTGATGAAAAACAATTATAATTTTGCAACATAAAATCTCTCTCCGACAAATTTTTGCATTCATTACTATTGGATTAACAGCATCAGCCATCTAATATTAAAATCTGCTGTTTTTACTGACAAACAACATTGCAAAAAGTTCTTATTTATCAAAAAGCAACAAGATCTGAAAATGTTAAATATATTGCTAAAAATCTTTCTTTTAGGTATCAAACTGCTAAAATACCAAAATTTACACATTGACAAATACAGTCCTGTTATATCTAGACATCGAACCAAGATAATTTATATCCAGTCATTCAGAAAATCATGACATCAATTCTTAACAATTTAACAATAAAATCAAAATGTACTGTTTGTTATTATGTGGATTACTTGTGAAAGTTTCACTTCCTGTTTGCCGAGAAAAAGAATGACTGAAACGACAACTGTATAAACTGTGCCAACAGTATAGAGCTGGGCCAACTTACATGTCTGTGTTACTGTAGACTGACACCAGGTTTTATATTGTTGACACACGATCAACAGAAAAAGTATCGGGAGAAATCAAAACATCTTCTCTTAGTGAAATAAATTATATAATAATGATGAAAACAATGTGATGAATAAACTGAAGCACCGATAAAGGCTGAATATTCCAATCTGAACAGAGTATTCTAAAAACAATACATTATTTCTTTATGAAAAAAAAAAGTAGATTAACCTAATGATGAAAAAATAATGTATAAATATACTGCTTACATCTTAAAATGATTTTGATCAAGAATAATGTTTATAGATGTATGAAAACAAAAACAACAGAATTTATTGCTCAATGAACAACGCAAGATGTATGTCACTAAACAAAAACAAAAACTGTAAATTTTTTTAGCACTTCAAACTGGGTCAGTGTTTAAAAACAAAATAAACAGGTCACAGACAAGTAAATAATAGATTATAGAGAACACTAAATGTATGACAAAGAGCTTTAGACAAAGAGAGAGGTTTATAGAGCATTGAATGTTTATGTTTAAGGCAAGAAGTTCTGGTAACATGCAAAATTCTGTGTTATTTTTTTCTAATAAATGATAATTTCTTTCCAAAACGACCTTTTTCGTAATACAATTATACAGCTTCTATCAAAACCTTTTGTATCAAAGGGTGAACTGTCTTCGGTCGGTTTTCTATTGATTTCACGAAATTCTATTTTACTAACTACTCCAAACTTAAACAAGGTAAAGTGTAATATATTATATATGAGCACAGCAAAAGGGAGTTTATTATTTATCACAGAGGATATACCAAGAAAAATAATCAAAGTCTTAATAAATTATTATACAATCTACTATACAAAATGACTATTGTCCTCTGTTACAAAGAAATATTTTAACATAACACATTAATATTCCAAAATGGTATAAATCTTAGAACATAAATGATCCACATTTTTATTCCGTCCATTCACTACAGAAATTCACATTCATTCACTACATATCCCATCCATGCAGAATGATTGCACAAAAGCATTGTTACCCAGTCCCAACTCAGTGACTTAGATAATCAAAGTGTTTGAACCTGTTCTAATTTTACAGACACATTCCTACATTTCCTACGTCTGGTTGATCTCCATCATTCATATAAATATTAAATTCCTGCAAATTTCTCTCTTTTTCATTCCACAAAAACTCAAAACATCTTCACATATTTAAAACTATTTATAAATCTTCAAAATATATTTCTGCGATTGAAAGCATTTTTGATACATTGCCAATTATAATGAGGCACAACACTTGCCAACACTAACACACGGTATCTCTGATGCTGGGCTCGAAATTGACGTCAATTCAGCTTCGTGTTTGTCATACATAAAGCATAATTCCATACAATACTCCGATGAATACAAAAGCATGACATATGCAGCGTTAATCTTTGAATAAATTCCTCTACAGGCAATTTTCCTATCCGCATCAACATTATTTAACAATTGTCACAAACTATTAAAATTTTCGGTTAATTTCCTTTTCCAATTATTTCCAGATTTCGCTAATCCACTAAAATCCAAGTGATGAAATGTGGCTATAGAAATGTACACAAAACGTTTTTTGAAACATCTTTATGGAATAACATGTAAATCTTTGTAGTATAATAATTATTTATTTCTGTCCAAAAATTGTTTAAATGTCCTATTTACGTCTAATGCATCTTTACTGCGTCTTAGCTTTCTTCTTTGGGAAAGGGATCTTTGAGGAGACTCTGAAATAAAGAAAACATTGCATGCATTACTTATCATTTAAAGTGACATACAACAATATGACTTTCAAGAAAAAGCAAGAAGAAAGATGGGTTAAATGTCAATACATGTATTTAAAACAGATAAAATATTACTGCTAATAATACAGGGTTGTCTTTAGATTCCACTAATTATTGTGTCAAAAAACCAGAACCCTAACAGAAACGACAATCCTGTAACACTAAAGGATACCTCAGAATGACAAAGCAAAAAACAGGACAATATTATGGGGAAAGTATGAAAATTCATTTTTAGCCTTGACCTTATTGAACTTAACCCCCATTAAATGGCAGAGTGGAAGATATCACAAAAAGATATCAGTCAAGAAACAAAGATGTTAAAGGAAACATTAGGAAAGATAAACTTATAAGTTTATTTTTTATGCTCCACCAAAAAAATTGCAGAGAAAATGTAACTAAAGGACAGACACAATGGCAATTAAATCCTCAACCAAAGAATTTCAAGGGGAAAAGGATGAAAAGAGTATGTACAAGTATTGTATTAAGTTCAGTAAAAATGAGCTGTTAACAGCAGTAAAGAGGCTCTGCCAAGTTTCCATCGAACATTTACACAAGAGCTTAATACTCCCCCCTTGACAACAATCAGTGTTTGATTCTTTTCCATTCATGTAACATATAAATCATTTTTGAAAAAGAAATCACTAAAACTTATATTTTCATTTAGCACTTTTTTTTATAGTAGTAAAGTCAAAATGACATCATCGTACCCATGAAACACGTGTCATGATTTCAGAACACACAACCTGTCTTCCACAGTGGGTGTATTTTTGTATAAAATACTGTTCCATATATAAGAATTAACTACTGTGATATACTTACTGTTTCATGATATTGTTGAGCTGGCCTCTAACCATGTTAACATTCTGATCAATGGGGCCCTGGTAGGTCTCGTATACCTTCGGCAATGTGAAAATACTTACTACAGCTGAAAATATACACCATAAACCGTTTTCAAATAGACAATATCAATCTCTCCATAATATTCAACATAATTTGCATCATGTTATTATAGTATATTATTTCTTTTAACAATTTAGCTCAGTTACATATATCAATGCCAATAATATTGGCAGCCTCAACCACTTCTAACCAAATCCTTTCAAATTTGTTCAACTTTGTATGTGCAAAAAAAATAAAAGTAGTGAGCACGTTAATGTGGTCTTATTTTGACCCATAACTTACCGAGAATAATAAGTGTCATGCCATTGAACCAACTTCCAACATATGTCAGCAACCACAACAACAGACCAAACTGAAACAGAGAAATTAACAAGATTATATTTTACCAAATTGTAGATTTACATTATCACACTTTCTCTTTGCTAAAGATACAAAGGCAGAAAATCATTCTAACACTGATGCTGTCTATTTGACACACCTTAGTGCAATAAGTGATTAACTACTATTAAATTCAGAAGGACTCATTACATTATTGCACTAAGGCGATGATATGGATTATCTAAACCTGATTTTCATTAACTTGTTAAGTATATGGAAATGTCTTAAGTTATTGAGAATTCTTTGGAAGACTTGACCCTTACCCTGCTGGAACTGTGAGTGATTAGCATTTGCCACCACTGTACAGAGCCAGGTCAGCCTGCACTTTTGTGTAGTCTGACCAGACTCTATACTGGTGGCCTACTAGCTTTACATTTTCATCTTGATATCCCTAAAATTGTGAATGTACAGTTCCAAGAAATGGAAACTGGACAAGTATATTTGAGCAATAAGATTAAGGGTAAATAAGCAAGCAGCAACCTCTACATAGTAAAGCATATTTCATTTTAACAGGCATACTAGCTGCCATCCCAGAGAAAGAAGGTTAGGGCCATACTGGAGTAACAACCATGCATATACTGGTTAATTCCAGGAAGCCAATTTAAAGATAGTACAAATAAGGTACAAGCATTCATCACAGCTGGGCTTAAATAAATAATGTCTAAACTAAATGGCTTCAAGTAAATGCTTGTCCACAAGAGAATAGCCAGTAGAAATTAATATTAGTAAGTAGGGAAGGCTTTAGCTAATGAAAAAGTGCATGTTATTCAGTAAAGTGTAAACCTTTAATTGACACCTGTCAGGAAACATGAGGTCAATCAATCAAGCCATTATACAATAAATTCACTCTGAATGTGACTTCTGAAACTTGCTATCAGGGCTTCCATTAGGTTTCAAAATTTGGAAAGTGTCTGACATTCACATTATATAGGTAAAGAAGGAAAAGCAATATATTTTGTAAGTCACAAGCCAAACTTCCACTAATGGAAGCCCTGCTTCCTATGCCAAATATAAAAGAACCTAGCTAGCTTGCACAACTTTGCCAGTATTGCCATTCTGTTGAATGTTCAATTTTGATATTAAAATTATTGGCAAGTTCTGTTCTACAAGAGAAAGTCTATTACACTAATTGAGCAGAGTCAGAAAATACTTTCAGATTATTAGTGAAATTACTGTATCCACAAAATGACAACAGCCCCATTATACAAATTATTTCTTTAATTTCTTTTTTGCCCAATAAACAGCATTATTGTTTACATCATAAAAGTTTTTGATAGCCGAATTTTTCATACATATTATGTTCTGGGAAACAATCATAAATCCATGCAGAGTGCCAGACGGTCAGACCTACTAATATCTATAAATAGATATCAATATGACAACACTGTCTAGATGAAGACAAATCATAGAATATAGACAATAATGAATTAATCACAGTCTTGCAGAGGTTATGTCTATACAACTCAATAAAATGATTTTGTAGGATGCATACAAAAGACCATGTTGCCGATGATAAAACATATTTTTAGTGTTTTTTCGCTGCTTTAACTAGAGCAAAAAAAACCAACAAGAAAAACTGTGTAAAGTTCCCCTTAGCATGAACTTCAGTTTTGGTGGGCATAATTTCAACCTTCATCGTATGCTAGTATATATCTGTACAATGAACTTGTCAAGCTTATGAAGTTAGAATTGTTAAGTTTTAGTATTCCAAATAATCAAATATAACAACAAACATTAGTCATGTCATATTGCAAGGATATTATCTCTCTTTAAGCATAAAGCTTACCATACATGTGAATTACCACATAATTATATAGGTGAGTCAATTTTTATATATATATATTTTTTTTTTTGGCTTGGGTTTTACATAACATCAACACAGTAAATGTTTTACAGCTACTTTTCAGCTTTACTGGTGGAGGAAGACTTCAGGTGCCCCTTTGTACATTATTTCAGGCATGGAGGGCACCTGTATAGAACCACTGACATTCATAAGCTAGCCAGATAGCTTGCTCACATGAAACAAATTACTTATACGCACCTTGAGTGAGTCAACATAATCTTCAACAAGGAAAAGTCTTCGGAGTTCTTTCGAGCAGTTGTTTACGTTACAAGCAATTTTATCTGCGGCACTCTCAACAACCTCACTCTGCAGGCAAATATCCAAGTCTAACAGTTTTCTATAAAAAGAAACAATGATGTTTATAATTGGGACCAATACCTAATAAACATTAAACTTGATTTTGGAACAAAATAAAAAGGAATCTTTTACTAAATTGTATAATTAATCAATATGATATACCTTAACTGTTATTGAAGTTATTAACCTTAATTTGAATTCATAGAATTCTTAAAGAAATTTCAGAAAATAATACAATGTGACAATATATAAGAAACATGTAGGTTTCCAACAGTTTAATACCATCCAAAGGAAAATACTGTGCAAAATTTTGTCACAATCATGGTACACTTGAATTAACCGTATGGGTTACTCCTACTGGCCTATGGGAAATTAACATTATAAATATAGTGAGGGGTAATAATATGATTTAACCACTAACCGTGCTTGGCAAGTATTACAAAATGAATGCATATAACAGTAGTTATGACTCTGTCCTAAATGTAGTCCTGACTCGGTCCTAAATGTAGTTATGACTCTGTCCTATAAGACAGTAAGACAAACTTTATTTATAGTCGGTTATGGTTAACAGTAGTTACTACTCCTAAAATGTAGTTACTACTCTGTACTAAATGTAGTTACGACTCTGTCCTAAATCAGGACAGGACAATTCAATCAAATAAAGCACTAAATTACTTGAATGGATGTCCATCATTGGTTTTTTGCACAGCCTGCATGACATTCTTGTAGACACGGAAACTGAGGGTGACGGTCAGGATGGCAAGTGACAGGTACGCCAACACGCTCAGTATCGTGAAAAAGGTCAAGGACAGAAGTATGAACATCATGCTGCCGAAAACTACACCCGTCTTCTTAACATCTCGCCAGTAAATCAGGTCCAACACTACAATATAAAATTATATTTTTATAAATAACATATCAGTTAAGGTTATTCATGCTCACTGACTGAAAAATGCATGGTCAAGATGCCCAGCATGTAGGCAGCATTTGGTGGACCGCACCTTCTAGATGGAATTAAATATCTCAGGGCAATAATATGAGTATGTTTAGTTTAGTTTAGATTAATAAATAACAACAGAAATTATCAAACACAAACAGTAACTTTTACTTAGAAAAAACTAGTTTTAACAGTAACGAAAACAAAAATGAAAAACTTAAGAAGGTACTAATCAGTCTAAATAATATCATTAACAAAACTTAAAAGTTGTAGTTAAAACAGATTAATAATAACATGAACATAATAAAACCCAATGCAAGATTGATTTTTAACTAGTGAAATGTAATGCATTCAAAGATATAAAAGCTATAGATCTAAAAACAAGTTCATGCACACACATTTCAAATCTAAAACATTTCCATCATTTCTGTTACGTTTAGTTCACTTTCAGAATATACATGTACAAGAACTACCTCAAGGTTAACTCAAAGATTGGTCAGTATATAGATTATATAATCATAAAGCAATAAAATGCACAGACAGTTGCAATAAAGGAATAAAATATAGCAGAAGTCTACTTCCCATGCATAATTCATCAAAAATAAAACACTGCCAAAATTGTAAAACTGCTTTGTCAGCATTATTTACAGCTGAATTCCTTTATATTATATGATCCTTCAACTTTGGCAAATATGATACTAAAACACAAACACCAGATATAGATCTTTTCATAGTTGATCACCATTCAAATTTGCATGCACATACTGTGTTCAATAAATAAATGCATCAGTCTTTACATTGTAGAATAGACAATCTTATTACATACTAGTTTTTACAGACAATTCTTATTTCATATATTAACTCATCTGTAGGTTAAGATGCACTTTGCGTAAAAGAAGCCAGACTGAATACCTGTTTCTGACATGCAATCAGTTTATGACACAGACAGAAAAATACTTTTAAAAATATGTTTGACACTGAAAACAGACACAGAAAATACATTTAAATGAAAGTTTGATAGATAAAAACACATGTAAATAAATACTGACACAGAAAAACACGTAATCATTTCAATGAAAGTTTGACACACATAATCAACCAACATTTTAAAGCCATTTTGACCTTAACATATTGCTTGAGAAGTTATAACCGAAAAACTGCACTAGCCACCTCTTCAACTGTTGTGTGTAAGAAACTGTTAAAATACTTCCTAGATTTATTCATTTAACTTACTTGTGTGTGCATACGGTAAATTCCAGATTTCAATTTTATTGAAATAGTTCACTGTCTTGAAAACAGTTAAATATTGATTTTGTACTTCTGCTTTTATAACGAGTCACAATCAGCATTGAAAAAGGCACAGGAATATCATTGCAGTCAACTGGTTTGTCTGAGTCACCTGACATATCTAAAGGACGTGTCTTTTATAACTGCAGTTTGACAATGGAAATGTAATGCATTTATAATTTAGTTTTATTCCAAAACACTTCCTGTTTGAGTAAGATATTCTCCTGATAATATTTAATTATAAAGATTCAACAAATTTAAACTATTTCAGTTCTTGATAGATATAATATAATGTTTATATCACCGTTATTACAACCCAAAAGAGGAAAAGAGTGCATTTTGATGGAATTTACAGTTAGATTTCCTAGGGCACAAATACAAAAAGGTAAACTGTATCACTTCAGTACCATATTCTATGAGATATTCAAAAATGCATTCAAAATTAAAGTATTATTTCATACAATAACAGCAGGATATCAAATTACATACAGAGAAAAAAAATTGCTGCTTAATTAAAGCACTAACCCAATTTATGTGAAGAATAAAAATTATATGGCGGAATGAAGCATTTGAAATATAAAGAGATTTTACTGAATCACCTCTGTTTACACATTGATTTCAGCATAAATAATGCATAGGATTTTTAACCGTTTTCAACCCAATGAATCAAACTGCTTCTTTATTTATTAGAAGAGAAAATTAATGACATGATAAATATTGCAAGTCATTAATATGTTTTCAGGACATATACCACTTCATCTACTATTTAGTCACATTACATAGTTAAGCCTTCTAACAGTTTATAAATGTAACAATTGTGAATCCAGAATGAGGTCAATGTAAGCTGACTTATGTCACATGTCGTCATGACGACATCGGAATCCAGGTTGACGGAATGAAGAGACTGGTGACTCACTGCGAGCAACAAAACATTTATCTAACATCGAGATTTAGAATGTGTCAACAGTATAAGATCAATGGTAATTAGCACTTGCAGGAAATTCCCATGCATCAGTAGATGAACTGTTGGTTTCTGTAGGAGAAATGATAATTACTGAAATGATTAAACTCTTAAAGAAAACAGACAATTATACCAGATTAAACCCTAGATTCTTATGTTTGACGAAACCATATTTTCAAATTATCAAACTTAACTGAAGAGTCCATATTTTAAAATGTTGCATTTCATATTATCAAACATTGTAAGTTTTTCTGTTACAATTTAGTGCCTGAATATTCAAAAGTACTTAACTAGTCTAATGTATGAAACAAGAGCCATGTCAACATGGCCATCCCCCGCCGAATGTGTTTGCTCATTGAAAGAATGTATATGTAGTACAGCAGAATAATTCCATTTTAAGAGGTCTTTTGGTAATGAAAACTGATGGCTATAGTGATTACAGATTTGAAACATTTGTGAATACTGATGGCTGAAAATAACAAAGGGCAATAACTGAAAAATAATGCAGGGTAGGTTATCATTCTTGTGTGCTGCATCCCTCCTCAGTAAAATCTATCCACCTATGAAGTTTCAAGTTGATACCTCAAATACTTTTTGAGAAAAAAATTGAATTGAAAAATTAAGTATGAAAAATAACAAAGGGCAATAACTCAAAAATTATGAAAGGTAGAGTTATCATTCTTGTGCACTGCACACCTCCTGAGTTAGATCTATGCACCTATGAAGTTTCATAATGATATCTCAAAGGCCTTTTGATCGAGTTATGCTCTGGACAAAAATTAATTTTGAAAAATAAAAAAAGGACAATAACTAAACAATTATGCAGGGTAGAGTTATCATTCTTGTGCACTGCACTCTTCCTCAATGAGATCCATCCACCTATGAAGTTTCAAGTTGATACCTCAAATACTTTTTGAGATAAGCTCCGGACAAATTAGTATGAAAAAGAACAAAGGGCAATAACTCAAAAATTGTACAGGGAAGAGTTATCATTCTTGTGCACAGCATTCCTCCTCAATAAAATCTATCCACCTATGACATTTCATGTTGACATCTCAAACACTTTTTGAGTTATGCTCCACTCAGGTGAAAAATTAAGTATGAAAAATAACAAAGGGCAATAACTCAAAAATTATGAAAGGTAGAGTTATCATTCTTGTGCACTGCACACCTCCTGAGTGAGATCTATGCACCTATGAAGTTTCATGTTGATATCTCATAGGCTTTTGGAGTTATGCTCTGGACAAAAATCAATTTTGAAAAATAACAAAGGGCAATAACACAAAAATTATGCAGGGTAGAGTTATCATTCTTGCGCACTGCACTCCTCCTCAATGAGGTCTATCCACCTATGAAGTTTCAAGTTGATTACTCAAATACTTTTAGAGATATGCTCCGGACAAAAATGTCGGACGGAAGGACGGACGGTCAGAAGGACCGACGGACGGACGGAGACTATTTCTATATCCCCCGCCGCCTTTTCGGCGGGGGATAAAAAAAGTTATACCAGTAAAACAGAGTGTAAAATAAACACTACAGTTAAGAATTATGGCATGACTACTTTTACCATGCTAAAACCTTTTGATGTTATATAGACCCAGTCCAGTCTGCAAATCTGTGCAGTCTGACCAGTCTCTATACTGTTAGCCGACTAATTTTGATTTCATTTCAATATCCCGAAAATTGAAAATGGACTATTCCAAACATGGAAACTGGACAAATCCATTTAGGAAATTCAGCTGGTGAAGGATTAACCTGTGATAACTTCAAAATTGCAATCATTGCACTGAAGACAGTGAAAGAATTTATCACCAAAAACTGTGTAACATGCCATCGATGTCTGGAGATTATAAATGCTCGTAATTAAACCAAACTTTCTTGGAAATATTCTTCATATCTCATTAGAATGATGCAAACGATAATAAAATACAAATCATATAAACATTATAAAACATCTATCATCAAAAATATATCAACAGAAAAAAATATCTCTTCTTGTTCAATGATTTAGCACACATGTAATGGCAAAAACAAGATTCTTGGCTGGAGTATACTATATGCTTTGAACATAAAGGTATATGACTACAGTCTTTGGCTACAGGAGATCATTTCAAAGGGAAGATTACTAAAACTGATAGACCAAACCCCCATGTAGTAACACATGCTTGTTTGTGTATTAACCATAGACATAGTCATAAAAAACTCTGTGCTACAGATCTTTGAAGATGTAAAAATATAAGAAAAACCCATGCCTTATTCATCTTCGATGTCAAGCATATAGCCAATTTCTCTATACTTACTTATATCATGCAAATGTTATCATTCTGTTCATATTTTCAGGCACATGTCATTTTGAAAGACTTTTGTTACTTATTTACATACTGTACTTGCTTTATAGTAAATTTGTTTACCCTACCTTTATTAATCTAAAAATTCAGGCATCGTGTAAAAATAGCCAATAGCAATGACAACCCAGATAATTTTAAATATCATAATTGTCAAATGAAACCTTACACACAATTTTCAAAAGCATTACAAAATCTGGTTTCTTTATATGAAAACAGATGTATATAATTATGTTTATGCAAGAATAACACTAATTAATACACTTTTTTTGTGCATTAACATCTGCAAAAGATGTCGGATTTTATTATGTTCCTTCCGCTGAGGACTTGAGCTTTAAATAAATGCATCCTTTTAATTCTGCTTATAATGAAGGTAGTGAAAACTATCAGGAGTTAAATTATTTTTAATTAACATGACCCAATGACCTACTCCCGGTCTATGTTTTAAATGTATAACAGCCAACCTCCATACAATATATCAGAAGTGGTGAATACACAGTTGGTTACGCTGAATTTTTTATTTTAATACTGAAATCCCTTAATTTTCAAATGGGCTGTTCCAAATTCAAAGCAGGGCAATTCCATTGCACATTCTGCAGGTTAATATAAGAGTTAAATAACTAAATTCCTTCTGTTTAATATTAATGTACTTCAGATCTCCAATTGAATATAATAAACTCAGTTCGCAAGCTTTATATCATACAAAAACCTAAACTATAATTAAAAACCAATCATTTTTATATAAATTATGAGCAAGAATATAATCTTAAAATAACTTAAAGACAATATTAAAATAACTTGCATTAACACAATGACCGTTTCATTATAAAGATATTTGAGCCAATTTGTTGCTACTTAAAAGCAAGATTTATTCCACTTATGCATAAATACAGTATAATAAAAGGGGATCTATTTTCCTCTATGGAATTTATACCGCTTAATGAATAATCAATACGCACACACACAAGGACAAAATATAGTTCCTACATTTTATTGTCTTAAAAAATCTATGTACAGCAATCTCAGACAGAAATAGTATGCTGAACTTTTGCTTCTTTCTATAATAACTATGGACATGTGTTTTAAGGCACAAGAAAGCTATTTTCTGCTAATTTAGGTACTCACAGTTTATATAAACAAGTTCTCTAGAATTAAACAATCAAAAGGCTAATGCTATTAATTCAGGATAATTTCTAAATGAAATGCCAATAACTAAGTGACAATAAATAATTACGGTTATTGTATTTTAGGAATAAGGAATTTTTCTGTTTTTATTTCTTTTTATTTTGTTGTTGTTTTTTCTTGTTGGACAGGGGAGAGAGTTTATTTAATATGAATATTTTTAGTGTAGTCATCTCACAACAACAGTGAAGAATAACCATCAAGTACCATTGGATAAACAAATGTTATCAATAAGAAAAAATACATGTCACAATACTGTGGGTTACTTTCAGTCCAACTGTTATCGGACAACATCAACTATTGCCAATCATTCAACTTCCTATTCATTATAAAGAACAACAACAGCACTGTCTTGAATCAAGCTTAAACACCAACAACCTTTTCTCATACCTGGGAGAATATCACCACTGCCTCATCCTACCCATTTTAAACAACTCCCTAAGTTCAAAATAAACTCCAAGTACAAAATAAACATAATGTAATGGCATTTGGGTCAAGCAATATTGATCAAAGGCATGCTGTTCATACAGTTCAATTAATCCCAGCACAATATGGAACATATCAAAATGCCAAGCTACAGCAATCAATTTATCAGCCCATATGGTAAAGCAGAATTATATCATATCTCCCGTATTATAATGGGAGCAAGCTGTCGAAACAAAAAACTATTGTGTTTCTCAGACTTTTCCAGTATTTTGTTACACAAATAATCTGCCAAGGTTGCTTTCAAATTCCATTCACAATGGTAATGTGATTTGTCATTTCAAGGCAGGAAAACAGTCCCATTTCTGCGTTATAAGGTTTTACATGTGTTAAGAAATGTTTCTTATTTGTTTTAACTAGAAATGACATTTTAAAATTTTACATTTAAACTACAAAAAAAATTAATATTAATGGTGATCTCCTTTAAGTTCTTATACAAGCAATAATGATAAGACACTACAAAAGTAGTTTGAAAGAATGAATGGATATTTGGATATAGCCAATATAACATTCATTTGCCTTATACCATATAAAAAATTTCCTACAGTTAGTTTCAAATAAATCTTACATGCTCTACAATAAAGATTATAAGACACAAAACTTTGAATGTTCTGCATGTCAAATAACCAGACAGTAATAAATAAAGTACAAAAGTACTGACACACATTGATTAGTAGGCAACAACTAAGTGATTGCATCAATAACAAAGTCATTACAAGACCATTATTGATTGTCATCTTCATGCACAATCCAGTTACACAATTTACAAATTAACAAGACTAAAAGGAAACTGACAATGTAGGAAACATACACAACTTGTAATCTTAGCATATTTTTTTCTAAATTCTGATCAATATTGCTATATTTTCTAAGTGATTTAATTTGTTTCCCACATTCTTATCTGCAAAAAATATGTTAAAATAGTTATCCTAGAAATCTGTTTCTTTTCAAATAGCTAAAATAGTTTTGAAGATAAAAATGCAATAAGGACTGTAAAAATAACATATAAGATAAATCATAAAATGGAGGCAAAGATATTATCAAGCTATAAAGACATAACGAAAGAAACGAAAATTCATTTTGCTACTTATACCTTCCGAAAGTACCATCTTCATAATCTCAGTAGCCCTCTCTGATATAGATAATCTGTCTTCTTCTTTGTTTAAATCCTCTTTACATACATTGTCAATGATTTCTGAAGGCACTTTTTCAACGAAATCAGAAGACACTTTTTCAACTTCTGTATTTCTAATATCCTCAATAATATCAATACCTTTTTTTTCCTGATCAGAATTTTCACAAATCAAATTTTCACTTTCATTGTCTTGTTCAACTGTAGCACTTTCTTTAATTAAATTTGAATGATTTATTAATCCAAAGTGTTCAATGTCTTCTGTACATTCAGATAATCTTCTATGCATCACTTCCACTTCATCTAAACCTACTTTATTATGCTCATACTCTTGCATTTCTTCTCTCTCCTCCTCAGCTTCATCTGCTAATATTTCTTCATGTTCCTTTTCCAAGTTTAATATTGCATCCTGCAGCTGACTGGCTACAAAGTTTTGTATTTCCATTGATTTGTTATCCCTTTCAGTTTCATCAGTATTATGAATAATCATAGACTGTACATCTCGTTCTGATGCAGTGTCAACATCGTGAATGATCATAGAATCAAACATTTCACTTGCTGTAACTTTTCCTTCAACTACTCTCACTTTCTTTTGCCTCATTATTACGGGTTCTTCAACTTCATCCTCCTTTTCAACCTCCTCTATGGAATGAGCCTCTTTTATCTCTTGAGTATAACCCATGTCCATTTCACCAATCATGTCCTCTTTTTCACTCATTAATTGTGATTTTGTTTCTTTTTCAGATATACTCTCTTCTTCAAGTTGGATTGAACTGCTGTCATCTAATGATTCATTTGTCTTAAATGGATTAACAGACTCTTTTTCTTTAATTTCTGGTGTTATTACATCTTCACTTATTTCTTCATTTTCAACATCTGTTCTGATTTGTTCTTGCATCTCATTTGTATTTTGTCTGCTATTGTCTCCTCTAACTTCAACATCAGAATTAATTTGTTGATCATTTTTATTTGCATCCAAATTTTCTATATTATTATTTTGCATTTGTCCTGCAAATCTTTCATTTCTAGCCTCTTCAAGTACTTTGTTTGCAAACTGCAGAGCTATATCATCCATATTTTTTATTCCAGACTGTCTAAGTAAATCCATTGCCCCTTCTATCTCCCCCTTAGCTTCTAAATTATTATAAACTTCCTTTAAGTCTTTTACAACTTTGGCTTCTAATTCCTCAACATCTTCAACATTCATGTCATCATTTTGGTCAATTTCTACATCTTCAAGACTCCTTTCTTCATGATCAATAAGTTCATCTGCAACTTCCATAGAAACTTTTTCAACAATTGGACAGTCAGGGTCATAAAACAAAGTGTTTGTTGGTGTTTGAAACTTCACATGATCTGGAGTTTTACTTCTCTCTCTTGTTGCTGATGCCATTATTGATGCAAGTGGCTCAGAGCGTAAAACAGTTGGTTCTGTATTTACAGAATCATCGTCTATCACAGTCTTATCTATATCAGCAACCATTTTATCAATGAACTCTCCTGACCTTCTCTTATCTCCATCTGAATCTGTATCCTGAACCATAGCTTCCATCTCTTCCATAAGGCCTTTAACATCAGCCCTTAAATTGCTTAATTCACTTTCTTGCCGAACAGTCTCCCCTCTAGTGTTTATATTGTCTGAGCCAACATATTCATACCCAGCAAGAACATCACCACTTTGTTCTTCAACATCCATATCTTCATTTTCATCATCCTCATCCTCATCAAAGTTTCCAAATGAATGGGTATACAGTGGAGAAGGGCTCCAAGCACCAACTACACCTTCATCTCCTGATAAATCACTGTCAGTACATGAAACTTCATCACCAGAATCTGAATTGGACTTGCTGGATGATGAATCAATACTTTTACATTCCCCGTTATCTGATACAACTGGTGAAATATTATCAACTGAAAGAACTTCTTCACCTCTTACAAACTTTTCAAATTCAAGATCCCTAGCTGCTTTGTCGGATTCTAAATCTGTAGATTTATCAATACTATCATCATCTTGTGTTAATTTGTTAATAATATCAAGCATGTCATTTTCACTCAAACCAACTTTATCATCGACCAATTCTTTATTACTACCTATATCACCAACAGCAGCCCCTCCATACTCATCTTCTTTAGTGTTTAATGTTTCACTTCCGACATTACTTCCTGTCTCCTCCTCCATATCTTTTCCAATCTTTATGGCATCTTCAGGACCAGCCTGCATTTCAGATATATCACTTGATGCCATTTTTGATTTCTCAGAATTTATTTCCTTCTCTATACCTTTATCTAACTGCACTAATCCGAAAGAACTTTGGGTACCAGACAGTAATTCAATATCTGATCTTTCATCACTTCTTTGACTTGCAATCAACTGATTTTTATCATCTAAATTTCCAATAAATCCATTTCTCTCCTTATTTATTTCTCCTGTTAAATTTTCAGACGCTGAGTCACTACTTTCTGAGTCAGATTCATCTGCTGAACTACTATACTCGTTATCTGAGGAACTCACAATTGAACTCGAATCCGAACTATTTTCAAGTATGTCTTTCGAAACTGAGTCTTGAGTAATTCCAACAGATTCTACAATAATTCCTCCATATATAAACCTCAAACTCTCTTTTGAGAAAGATCAGCTGCATCTAGGTGATTTAAATGAAGCAGTTAATCTGATCTCTCTAAAAAGAGAATAATCTAATAAATAACTGATTTAACGTAACATCTGCCTGCTGATGTTATCTTTAGATAGATGACCTATCCTACATTACCATACTATATATACTAAGTTATGAAAGTATGTCAGTTAAGCCAACAAATTCCATCCATTTAATCAACTATATTCCCACTTGATCTATTTCCTTGACATTTATTAAAATCTATGTTATTTCTGAAAACAAACAGTCAAGTCCGGTTACAAACACGACACTGATTCACTAGTGGTAATACTAAACTACACAAGGACAAAAATGTTAGGTATACCATCCTAGTATAAGGGTCCTTTCAAGATCACATTAAAGCATTTTCAAGTGGTTATAAATACATCTAGTAACAATAAAATATGATAAGGGATGTTCCATAAATTATGCATTAACCATATCATTGTTAAAAGATACAATAATACAACATGTACAATGACACTGATATGGGATGCGGCTACAATTTCGTGTTAAAAATTACTATCTTTAGTAACAAACAAACAAATGGATAGTTCGAAAGGTAAATTTCTATACACAGATACATATAATAAACTAATCATACCTTAATGACAATTTTAGAAAAACTTGCTTGTTTATATTGTGATAGGACCGATTTACCGATAATTCTAAAGTGCATTTATACAAGTATGATAAGGATGCAGTTTGAATGACAGTTAAAATTAGGGCCGGGAATTTTATTCGAATATTCGAATATTCAAAACACTATCGAATATTCGAACATTGAAAAACGAATACGAATATTCGAAAAAAAAAATGTTTTATTATTTTTGATATTACTTTCAAATTCAAATTAAGATCGTAAATTAAACCATTGACCTTTACTTGACCAGGTGTTCACACGTTTGTATGACACGTGTCAACGATTATCGCCAATTAACTGTGAAAACTTTGGGGACTAGAACCTGTTTCACAGTTTCCAATTTACCTGTTTAACAGTTTCTAATGTAATACTTTCCGATATTAATTATCTTATTTATTGTTTTCTGTGCTATAAACTTTCCGATTAATCAATAATTGTCTTAAATTTTGTGAAGACGAAAAAATCGACACGCATTAATCGGTGCTTTATGAAAGCATGGTAAGTGTCTATATTCCGTCAGAATATATTTATTCCGTAGAAATTAGACTCCTTGTGACATTTACTGCGTTATAGCTAAATTTATCTAAAATTTATCTTAAGAATATTTCAAACCTTATCTAAAATTATAAATAAATAAAAAAATATTTAATACAAGTTAAGTTTCAATATAATTATGAGTGATGATTCATATTACTGTCAATCAAGTCCACGTGAGTTACCTCCCGTTAATAAGACATATGATCAGCAGTCGGATCAACTTGAAGGAAATCAAATTATGAATTTATTTCAAAAGTAAACATATATGTCGATTTACAACATATAAATTAAAAACTTTTTACATAGTTATAAATATATTTTTAATCGTCGATTATTCCAAGCATTTTAAAGTAGTATAGTATTCGACGCAATCAATTTCGGATACGTATACGTCACAGAGAAATATTGAAACAAATGTTGTAAAAACGAATATTCGAATATATTCGAATATGGAAAACGAATATTCGAACATCAAATTCCTTATTCGTTCCCAGCCCTAGTTAAAATTATTAAAACTGACATGTAACATCAAGACAATAAATCTCTTGAGCAATAATCAATGTATTGTATATATTTTATAAATATATAATAATATTACAGACAAGAGATATTCTGAAATATTATAGCCAACTCGAAAATATCTAATCTTACAGTTCTATATTTAGATCTGGCCTTAATTTTAGTACATCAAAAATAGATCAAAAGCATGTCTGCTTTCAAATGAATGTCAAACTGTATTACGAAATAACCCAAAACTCATGTACATTGGTCGTAAAAGCTACAAATCTAGATGCACTACATGAGCCCAATAAAGTAGTCATAAAACTCAACAAATATAAAAGTAATTGTCTCAAATGGGCAAATTTCCAGACAACAAAAGTTAATTAACGTCCAGTATTGATGGCTAAATCACAAATTGTTCTTAATTATGCTGTGCTATGTCATAAATTTTGTTAAACAGGACTTTATACATTAATGTTGTAAATACACTTAACATAGTAATACTTAATAAGATAATCTACTATACATGTATAAAGTTCAACATTCACACATTCTTTTGTCTACTTTCAAGCTTAACTTCCTTGTTTCATGTTTGTATCATTCACATTATATGATATATACATGTACGTTATGTATGATTTTATAAACAAGAAATTTTTTTTTTATTCCTTTCTCCCTTTTCTACCCACTTCAAAAAATTGTCACCTTATCAAATACAAATATTATAAGTGAGATTTCAAAAGTAAATTTTCATTCAAAGTAAATTGCACACTGGCAGCCACTGGTAGAACCACAAACTACTCTCTCACATGTAAGAAATTACTATAGCCAAATAGCCAAAAACAAATTTTAGAAAGACAATTTTCAACTTTTGTCATTCATAAATAATTTTACAATGCTACTTCAATTTACTTTTCTATAGAGGTAAAAAAATTTGAAACAATATGCATTACCAGCCCTCGGTTAAACTTTTTCTTACATTTTAAAAATGAAGTTTAAAATCTAGGATGTAGATAATGCTAGCCCCAGTGTATCTGATCACATTCCTTGTAGTTTTGTTATTATGAAATAACAACTAGAGTACATATGTACATATAAATGTATCATCATTATTATGATATAACTACTAAGTACACATGTACATATAATTGCAATCAAGAACATGTAATAAATAATGACTTTTCCTTGTAAACCTTCATGTATGAATACATGAAGACTTCTTCATTTATAACTTCAATATTCTTATGTAAAATTAAATTTGCAGACCTAAACACACAGGATTGAGCTTTGCAGGTCGCATACAATTATTATAAACCAATACAAGGGCAAATCTTAAAAATTTCATTCACCAAATCGAAACTTACAACCCTAATAGAATGTGTGTATATTAATTTCAAAACCAATCCCAAATTGAACAGAGAATAAAAAGGAATGTATTAGTTGTATAGTAAATAATCTAAGATCCTAGAAGGCAAGCCCTTTCTTAAATTTCTATATAAATTTAAAGAAATTTAATAAACAAGAGCTGTCGGTAGGACAGCATGCTCGACTATTCTTAGTGCTTGATAGTAAAAAAAATGCCTGATACAGTTACCTCCTCCTGTTTACAGGTTGGGGTCATGATGGTGAACAAGTGTGCAAAGTTTCAAAGCCATATGTCAATGGACTTTGAAAATATTTGAACTATTACAAAAACTTTAACGTAAATTCTAAGTCGAAAAAGGGGCATAATTCTGTCAAAATGCTTGATAGAGTTACCTCCTACTGTTTACAGATTGGGGTCATGATGTTGAACAAGTGTGCAAAGTTTCAAAGCCATATGTCAATGGACTTTGAAAATATTTGAACTATTACAAAAACTTTAACGTAAATTCTAAGTCGAAAAAGGGGCATAATTCTGTCAAAATGCTTGATAGAGTTACCTCCTCCTGTTTACAGGTTGGGGTTATGATGGTGAACAAGTGTGCAAAGTTTCAAAGCCATATGTCAATGGACTTTGAAAATATTTGAACTATTACAAAAACTTTAACGTAAATTCTAAGTCAAAAAAGGGGCATAATTCTGTCAAAATGCTTGATAGAGTTACCTCCTACTGTCTACAGGTTGGGGTCATGATGGTGAACAAGTGTGCAAAGTTTCAAAGCCATATGTCAATGGACTTTGAAAATATTTGAACTATTACAAAAACTTTAACGTAAATTCTAAGTCGAAAAAGGGGCATAATTCTGTAAAAATGCTTGATAGAGTTACCTCCTCCTGTCTACAGGTTAGGGTCATGATGGTGAACAAGTGTGCAAAGTTTCAAAGCCATATGTCAATGGACTTTGAAAATATTTGAACTATGACAAAAACTTTAACGTAAATTCTAAGTCGAAAAAGGGGCATAATTCTGTCAAAATGCTTGATAGAGTTACCTCCTCCTGTCTACAAGTTGGGTTCATGATGGTAAACAAGTGTGCAAAGTTTCAAAGCCATATGTCAATGGACTTTGAAAATATTTGAACTATTACAAAAACTTTAACGTAAATTCTAAGTCGAAAAAGGGGCATAATTCTGTCAAAATGCTTGATAGAGTTACCTCCTCCTGTTTACAGGTTGGGGTCATGATGGTGAACAAGTGTGCAAAGTTTCAAAGCCATATGTCAATGGACTTTGAAAATATTTGAACTATTACAAAAACTTTAACGTAAATTCTAAGTCGAAAAAGGGGCATAATTCTGTCAAAATGCTTGATAGAGTTACCTCCTCCTGTCTACAGGTTGGGCTCATGATGGTGAACAAGTGTGCAAAGTTTCAAAGCCATATGTCAATGGACTTTGAAAATATTTGAACTATTACAAAAACTTTAACATAAGTGGTTACGCCGACGCCGACGCCGACGCTCGGGTGACTGCAATAGCTCTACTTATTCTTATCGAATAGTCGAGCTAAAAAGTAGTGAGAAAAAAAAAATTCAACAAATAAAATGAAAAATATTTTAAAAGACATGCAATTCAAATCAATACAACAAAATAAATATATAAAATGTATATAAGCTTATAATTTAATTAATTTGTTACACATAATTATAATAATAATTATTAGTAAGTTGGTGTAAGCTGTACCATCAATTTTTGAGTGATTTTAATATTCATACAGTCAGCTGAATTCAAAACCAAGGCATAACATACATGATGTTGCAATCTGTCCCAATATTTAGCATTTCTCAGCCTGTCATGCAATGATATGTTTTTGTAAAAATATGTAGTCATTCTCAACATTCCAAGATGTTACCTCCATTGACCTTCTGCTGAGGGGATGACTCAGCAGATTCAACTGGACTGGTTTCACTTTTGTCAGATTGACTGGTTCCACCAGTGTTGAATGGACTGTGTTCCTCCATTTCGCTTATGTCATCTAGCAGATATTATGAAAGTTACTTACTTGTTAACACAGCTATTTAAACAACAAATTTTAATGAAAAAAAAAACAAAACAAGTCAACTTAAATGTGTTAAACTGTAAAATAACAGTAACTAAAGCATGCACTGATAAGCTAAAAACCCACACAAAATGTGACTAATGGTGAATTTTGGCATGTTCAGCTTATCTTACAATTTCTCACTGTGGTTTACATGTGATAAGGCATATAAATTCTGCACTTGACATGTAGTTGGAGTAATTCCTGAAATCTTCCCACACATTCTTATAACATTAGAACAGATCACTATTACTGTTCTTACATAACAATAAACAAATTTTAAAAAATTCAATCTGTTTACCAGACGGGCAACAGAGAATTAATTAACTTCAATCAGGTGCAGTGCCAACCCCCACCCACATTTCACCAATTGTATACCCCCCCCTTCACTTCACCAATTGTATAAAGTAAAAATTCCAGCTGGTTGCATTTTTAAGATGTTTGTCTATGGAAGCAAATAGGTTTTTGAATGTTATGTCCAATTTGCAGATCATAAATGTATTCAAGGAGTCTACAGTATAAAACAACAACACTTTTATCTCATTACATGTACATAATGTTTGTATATTGTTATATTGGTGGTAGTCACACAATGATAACAATAGGTCTGTTTATTATTAACTTCCTTAAAAGTGACATATCTTAGCTTAAACCCAATTGTCTGACTAGGTAGTTTCTATGTTTGAGATTTTAAACATGATCAAGTAACCAATGGATTTAAAAGACAGTTTTGTAGATTCTAATTTCCAAAATTAATTTTTAAAGTTAAACTGTTGTATATACATAAATATCTTGGATTCATAAGTTATGGAGCTCTTAAAAGTATCAAAAATTGTGTAACTTGTAAAACTTTGGTCCAAAGGAAGAATATTCAAATTTAAAGACTTTAAATATTGAAAAATCTGCAGGACCCTTAAGATTATTGCAACTCAATGAGTAGTCAGAGCCAACCATTTGCATAGGATACAGTATTAATACAGGTCACTAACCCAATCAAACTGTTTTATCATAAGTACTAATGCTTAATTAAATGAAGACAAAATTATTGTTTAACATATATCATAATGTACAGCATGTGGTAGCTTAAAGCAACATGTATATCAATCTACCATCACTTCAACAAACATAATCTACATAATCCTAGCACACAGTGCTATAACAAAACAATATACAAATTCCAGGTAAATGTATATATATATATCGAGGGCTTAACGCAATAAGGGCGTAACTACATTTTTTTCTAAAAATGGTTTTATATCATTTTTGACATTATTTTAGTCTTACTCATGAACTCTGAAAGTTTGAACAAAGAATATTGTTTATTTGTATCTACCTTTTGATAATACTATAAGGGCCTATCTCAAAGTGACTTATGTTTTTTATGCAATAAGGGAGTAACTCGACTTACGTCCTTATTCATATTGCATATATATAAAGTATCTAAGAGTTTCAATTCTTTTCTGCAACATAGGCAAAAGTATATTAGATAAATCAAAGTGATGTCATAAAAGTGCAGAAAGATAGCACTGTTTCTTTGTAACAATATCAGATTTACTTTAAGTATATAATAATGTCCATCAGAAACAAGACTTGCTAATAATTGAAGTCAAATCAATTTCAAATGCATTATCTCTTCCATTTTATTTTAAAAAAATGCACAGTCATGCAAGAACAAACTGTATCATTTAAACCTCCTTTGTTTCTTTAACTGATACCATTATCTGTTGCTAATAATTTTACAAAATAACTGAATTACCGGTATATTATTACTATTTACAGAGGTCACGGTAACCAATTGACAGGAAAAAAGTTATAGAAAATTAACTTTAAAGATTTTTCTATACCAGTTTTATTACCACTGTATAACAATTACATCACATATATTTTACATTAAAATTTTGTACTGTGTTTTTAAGACATTGATTTGCACATAAAATAAAATCTGTTTAAGTATTTAAAAACATTCAAGTTTATCAATTAAATGAAGATATTCAATTAAATATCACATTGTCAATGGTTCTTTTAATATTTATTTTTTATTGTAAGAGATCATTTACGGAGTACACCACATGTCTGATGTTTCTGAAGTCATTCTCCTAGTGAAACAAGTAACTGATAACTTTCTATGTACATGAACCATTTTAATTGAAGGCTATTAATTAAAGGAACAAACTCCACTGAGGTCCAAAGGACTAAAATATGAATTTCTTAAAACAGGCAAAAGATTATTTGCAAACAATGATTAAAAATATACCCAAAAATATATTGAAAATCATATTTTTTTATTATTCTTAGTCCAATTTAGTGAAAAGTGTTGAATGCTTTTCAATTTTGGGTCATTTTTCATGATTAGAATTATTATTCTGGAAAAACAGACTTAGGGATTAAAATGAAATTTTGTACACCTGTTTTTGATCTAGACCTACATCAAATGGAACATAAATGTTATAAATAATATCTAGTCCTGTCAAGGCAAAAAACCTCAGTTGAGTCCCTTTAAAGACACATTTTGAAAAGGAATATTTTTGCTTTCGTTAGAAAAAGCAAACAAAAGTTTTATAACGTGTAAATAATGGTTTTAGAGCATGTAGGATACTTACCACATGAAAAAAGAATTAGCACTGAATGTGAAATTATTTGACATAAAAGTAGCAAATGTATACAAAGCAGTATTTTAACATTTTAACTGCTATAAAAAAATCACTGTACTGTATTGTACTAAATGCCAAAATAGAAAAGAAACAAATGATGGCTCAGATGTATCTCAAATGTGTAACTTTTTGGAAACTAAATTAGAACACCAAACAAAAGCTTTTGAAGCATTTCTGGCACGACTAATGGGCAAAATGTTTTTAGCTAATAACTCCAGTATATTGATTGAGGCAAGCAACTTTCAAATCCTGTATAACACTGCCTACTGTGCTTTAAAAAATTTTTTTTTAAATATTTTTGCAAAATTTTACAAAAAATATTCTGCAAACTGGTCATTGCCCCTTACAGTTAATGTTACTTCAGAATTTAAATTACATTCATGTTATTGGTGCTATAAGTATAGAAAAATCCCTTGTTATTGTAAGTAAATTTCAAATTTGAGGGAGTTTATCTTCTGACTTCAAACCAATTTTTACAATTTGGTAATTGAAACCCAATAATCTATTATTATTACGGGCAGGAATAAGAAAACAATCTAGAAAAGGGGTGATCTGGTTGAAGTTTACTAGCAGATGGCACTTTTCATTTAAAGTTGTTTAAAAATGGTTAAATCATTATCTACACCATACCAGAGAGACTTTTAGACATTATTTTCATGGTTTACTTGAATTATTTAATAATACAAGCCACTATATTATTTGAGAGATAATGTAATTAATTTCAAAATTGTCATGTACAATTAATACGATAATAAGGAACAACACAGAAAAACTATTTGCTTTATGATATTAGCAAGCATTGCCAGCTTCTTTTGAAAAGTAAACTAACTAAATAAGGGAAATTGTGTTTGAGTCTTCTATATCCTACTAATGTCCACTGTCAAAAGTGTTCTGGGTGATAGCATGGGAATTGAAACATGTCTTAACCTGCCAGTTGTCCATATACTACTGAGTCAATCCAATTATTTTATTTTAGCAACAAATATTTGGATATAGCCGCTTGCTTACATTATGTAGAAGAATTGTTGTGGATCACACCATTGGATATTTCATTAGATCTTAAAGTGGTTGTCCATAAATCAAAGTCCCCATTATTTTTCATGTGAGTGGGGCAGATAAAACATAAGGACAAGAGCATAAGGAATCAAAGTACTTAAGGGTATAAATGGATGGCAAGTTTTTAATTTTGAAAAATTGCTCATTAATATTTTTTTTTTCACAAACAAACCAAGTCATCTTAATAGTATAATGCAATAAAGTAATTTTTTATTTGAGCCCAATCCCTTATACTTAAACAATGTATTACTTTATTACCCTTCCAGATTTTTTCCACCTTTTTGATTGGATATTAAGCCAGACGGGTAATTTACACACTAAATATGCCCGTTGGGTACCCCACGTTGTAAACAACATGCGTTGTGGCGATGTGCGTACAGTTCCAATTTACGCGGTGTAAATTCTGATATACAAGCAATTTTTAAATATTAAATAAAAATTATTTACCAAAATAAAGTAATGATAAATATTCTCATCAGTATTGAAAACAAAAATGGCCTTGCCAATGCTTGATATTTCTAACAAAAAGTGTCTTCTACAGACTACTCCTTTTCTCTTGTTTGCGTTTGTTAGGTACGAAAGCAAATACGTCATCTATTTATGTGACGTCATGTTGTGGTGAAAGCGTTCTCTAAAGGGAATCTTATTTCGACGTTTTAATTGAAACAGCAATGATTTATTTTAAAATCATCTTACTCGGCATGGGAAGGGTAATAAAATTATTGTTTTGGTTTTGGAGTGATATATATGGATATATTACCTGCCAAGATAAAATATCACCCTTGCCTAACAGCTCGGGTGATATAAAATCTTGCCAGGTAATATATCCACATAATATCACTCCAAAACCAAAATAACATATAATATTAAGAGAAGATGGATGTCAAAACCCCACACCTCAAAGTTTTTGTCCTACATTCTATATTACATATTAATAAGGGGAATTACTTGCCTCATACAGTTTAATTTCTTGATATAAAAAGGATTTGTAAGCATTTGAAATAATTAGTGTATTACAAATATTTCAAATGTGCACACATTTGAATACAAATGTATGTTACACATATTTTTGACAATCAAACCCTACTGTTATGTGAAAGCATAAATATTGAAGTTATTGCGCCTATTCAGCTAGAAATGATGGCATAGAAAGGTGTAATCATCTTTAAAAAATTAAAGAAACCAATGAAGGAAACAGAATGGTAACAATCACAAATACTTCATTTTTCA